AACCACCTGGAAACTGAGATTTACAGTAAAGGTCAAAACCAATGAAATCAGTGCAAAGCATAAAGGGAAAGGAGCAGAATGGGCTCAAGCCATGGCCTTACTGGAAATTCTTTCTTGCCTCAAGGTTTGCAAGTTGTCCAAATTTATTAGCATCTTCTTTCACAGTATTTAATTTTTATGTTTTGCTGAGATGCTGAGAAAGTTGTCTTTCATGAGAAACATCAGTGAGTACAAATCTGCAGCCAAAGACACCTATGCACAGTTACAACATGCAGAGACAGAGGTTCATATATGGATGCATTTTTATGTGCATCAAATTCAAGATGGATTTTCTTTATGACCGCCTTGGAGAAAAATAAAACCCCCACATTTAAACCCTAAACTTAATGCTTTGTGTATCCAGAGTAGCCTGATTTAATGGTAAACTGCTGTTGAATCAGTATTTGGGGTTAAAAAAAATACTTCTCTAAAACACTGAATATCAGTTTACACCAGAGCAGTGAATAACATTTCAGCCAGAAAGGTGTCAGAAAGAGAACCTAGAAAAGATCTTACTAAGCCCCAGTTCAGCATCAGAACTGAAGTCTAAATTTTAAAAAAATAATAAAATCACAAAGAGCTTGGGTAAATCAATACACATAATTTACTGGGAGCTGAGCTGGCACAACTTCTGTGAAAGCAGAAATTATGTCTTTTTCCCAGGGTTTTCAAAAAAAGTTTAATTCAAACAGTAAAGAAAGGTTTACTTTTCATAATCTTTTAATAAGTCCCTCATAAAATATTTGCAAAGACAGACAAAACTCATTCTTGAACAGGACTTTTTAGATCACCTTCAACCAGCTGACTGCAAGGTCCCACTTCAAACCATTACCCCTGATTTAACGCAATTCTTTTGGAATGGCCTTTCAATAAATGCCACAGACAGCAAATAAAGAAAGGATTTTGAAGATTCCAAGTTACATTATGTGACATGACAGAGCTCTCCCCCTCTTTCAAAGTGGCTGAGACCACTTACTTGGTTATTCCAACAGCCCAAAGACAGCCCAGTATTTGAACTTGAACTCAAATAGACAAAAGATGAGGCCCTCAAGCCTGTCACTTCTCTGTTCAGGTGGATCTTGTGCCATTTGGCTCATTAGAGAAAAAAAAAAACAAACACAAGAAAACCATAGGAAACCAAAAAACCTTCCCTTGAGAAAGGGAGTCCCTTAACTATGAAGTGAAACACCTTTAGCAATAAGGACACAGTGCATAGCCAAAATCTTTCCTGCAATGTGTTGCTTGACCACTTTATTTCTGATATCTGATACCATACAGACAAAAACCAATTTTTCAAGTTTCTCCAATTCATCAGCCAGACTACTGACATTTTTGACTCTTCTTTCCAACCACATAATGTTTTTTAGCCCAATTAGAAGTAGTTCTTCCCATAACTGGATAAATAGGCAATTTTATTGGTATTAGTGATAAAAAGTGGCACTTAAGTGTACCAGACAGTACATTAAATCCTTTCTAAGCTGACTAATTTCAAGCTTTTTCTTAAGAGGCTTGGACAGCTTTGCTGGGATTGTGAAGCTATGGTTACTACGCAAGCCTAACACATAAATCCAACCTCTTCAAGGAATTCTTCACACCCTTGACAGACATGTCAAGGCACAGACATGCAATCCACCTTTCTTCATGTCATCCTTACACCTGGATCAGGACAGGTAGCCCAAACCAGAGACAGTGCCAGTGGGGCCTCTGAGCCAGGCAGAAAGAGCTTTCCCAGTACTGGGGAAGGAACCATCACCCTCTTTGAGGGCAGGGAGTGAATAGGATGAAAGGCAGAGTTGCCAGTGAGGTTCAGAGAACAAATACAGACCTTGGCCAGCCTGGGCATGTTGCTCCCTCACCCAGCACATGCTGTTATTGAACAGTGAAGGCAGTGCATCGTGAAGGCAGTGAATAACTAGCACAAACAGACAGACAGAACCTTTGTTTTTCATCCATAAAATAGTTGTATGCAATTGGAATTCAGAAACGCAGCCAGTCATCAGCTGCCTAAAGCCAGTGTTATTGCTTACTTTTCCAATTCATATAAAATTGCTTAAATTAACAGAACACGACCCTTACTGGCTATGCAACATTTTACTGAGTAATTACGACTTCCAGCCACGATACAGAATGTACTGAATTCAAGTATAATTACAAAACAAAGAACATATGCAGGTAAGTATTCCAATATCTACACCTCACAAATCAAAATTATTTCCCCATACTAATATGGAGTAACCAAGACACAGAATGAAAAAGCCAATACACCAAAATGCAGGGTGTGGGGTGGGGAGGGGGCTGGTGAATCTGATTAAAAGAATGCATGGAAAAATGGATTTTGACTTTGACATTGCCCTTTGAAAGTTCTACCACAAGTGAAAAATCCTCACTGTTGACTTTCAAGTTTCTTGGCAATAGCCAAAATGCTTTCCGAACAGTTTAAGCATTTTTTGAGCACTTTTCACACAGTCCTTCAGCATATTTAATTTGAAAAGAAACTTACAAAATTCCCTTTTATATTACATCATTTATACATCACTGCTTTTTTTTCCTTCTGACTTCAGATTTGAAGCAGCTAATCCCAACCTCAAAAGTTTTAAACAGTTTAATTTTGTAATTTAGATTACAAAAGCCAAATTTATGCTAGATTATAGACGTGTATTCCACTATTTTAACAGGCACCTCAGAACAGAGCTATGAATGCTGGCTATACAAAAATTTAACTGGGCTTGCTGTTAGTGTAACACTCATAAAAAGTAACCACAACCTTTTATTTTAATTGGTGGCTTTAATTTACACAGGCAAAAAATGTCCACAAGCACCCTATGTAATACAGAATATTTTCTGGTTATCTATTATAATTTGCTATAGTGTCTGTGGTATTTAAAAAATATAGATCCTTTTCACATTACATTTTGAATGTTTTATCTCCTTTTCAGAATGTGATTTAATTAGAAAGATTGCTTATCCACAGACATCTCAGCAAATTGAAAAATAAAGACTGATGTATTCATCAATGACTACAGTCCACTGCAAGAATTCTGCAGACCTCAGAACTGCAGAAAGAGCACTTCTTTTCCCACAGCACATTCAGTATGGTGCTTCAGTCATATTCTGTCTAAAAGAATCAATTAATTTTCTCTTTAATTCACTCCAGCTCTCACTTCCACAAATAACATTATTCACTCTCCACTTACCAAACACATACCTCACCAACAACAACTCAGATTACAACATCACCCTTAGCAGCTTTCAGTGGACAAATAGGTTTGGGCCTGCAAGGCTGAACACCTTATCAGGACAAAGTTAGACAGGGGCTCTGATTTCCAGTATAAGGAAAAGAAAAAAGTTTTTGCTGGGGGAATTATTCAACTATCAGAATATTGGTAAAAGAAGAAAACATCATCCTACCTAGTTTTGTACATTCTAAAAGAAGATAATTTTTTACTGTTCTTTTCTTCTCCAATCATTATTTCTTATTTCTGGACAAGTTTTTTAGATGATTTTCATCCTTTCCTATTTCCAGGTGCTCAATGTCTTGGGTCTTTTCCTTCCTTGGATTCTTTTCTTTTAATCATATACTTTTAGTTTAATTTCTTTTGCTTCAGCAAAGCCTGACTGACTGCAGTTTCTATAGACCATACATCCACTTACAGCTTCTGTTTTATTTTCCTCAAAGGACACACATTTCAAAAATTGAACTATTGTGCTTTAGAGCCTGGATTCCTATTTCTTTTTTATGTAATACAGTGTCTCCTTTTGATCTTAATGATTTGTGTCTCACTAACAAGAAAGGAAAAATTACTTAAGCTATGCAAACCCTCTATTAAAAAAACCCAACTTTTGGGTACTTCTCATTTACATTATGCAGGTAAACTGCAAGAGAGATGTTAGTGGTACTTTCTATTCAGAGACAACAATAAGAATAGAAGCAGCACGATACTTAAGCTAGAAGGAAAAAAAGCAAACTGTCATTTTATACTCACTTCTGTAAGCCTTTAGGTATGCACAGAAGGGCAGGTTTTGTACAGGAGTCAATATTCATCAATTGTTCTACCATGCCAAAATGCCTCAAGAACATATGACTGTAAAAGGAAACACTTTTTTTTTTTTTTTTTTCAAATCTTAAACGATCTGGTGCTCTGGTTTCCTCCCTACGGAAAACATCTAAGTCAAGTTTAGAAAAAGGATTAATTCATTGATAATTTTCAAAAATTGCCACACTTGGAATAGACAAGGGCACAAAAACTCTTTGTATGAAGACTGTATCTGATGTACTCATCACTATTAGAGATACTTCTATAATGCATATTTTTTCTTTGTTACAGAAAAAAACAGCTAAAATGATTACAAATAAAGAGGACACAGGACTGCAATCAATGTATAACCTAGACAAAACATACCTAAAAACATTCCTGTACTCTCTTTTTATCAAAGAGAGGGCAGTAGAAATCTCTCTAAAAATGAGTCTCCAGACACAGACGAAAAACAATCTGACAAGATCAGAAAACTTGGTTTTGGCTAACATGGTTTGTAGCTTTCAGAGCAGTAATCACTATTCTTAACTATTAATGAACAAGAAGTACAGTACAAAATTCACAGACCAAGAGTAGAATTCAGCCCTGCTTTCAAAAACAGCTTCTTCTTGTAATAGCTTTTAATTCTTCTTGTAATAGCTTCTTCCTCGAAAAGTAAGAGTCACATTAAAAAAAACCAATAAAATCTGTGTGGGACTACAAGGAAGGAAAAAAATAAGAGTCTAAAAAACCTTCAGTTCAAGGATGAGTCACGGGGAATAAAGGGTGCAAACTTGTCCTTAAAAAAATGTGTTCCCCCCACTACTTCTGGACCAGAACACAAACCCCCAAAGAGCCCCTGTAATACAGCAATCCACTGGGGTGTTTACTACTAGCACTGTATCCTTAATAAATGCTTTAAAACTAGAGGAGAAAAGGGACACCACATCAAAAGCAGAATTCTAGTGTATAATGGAGACAATTTAGACTTGAAGTTCATTGCTGGGGGAAAGACAATCACTTCAAAATTTTATCCTTTATGGAAAAAAAAAATTCTATAGAAAAATGTATTATTAGTATCCAGCCAACATGGACTTCAAATACATTAAGATCATTCAGTATATTGGATCACTAAGACAAGCTTTTAAAACATTGCAAGTTTTACAGAATTATGAGTCACTGCACAGCATATAAGAAATCTTCCACAAAGCAGAGAGGGCAGCCATAGTTGGAACAAAATCTGAAAAAAACAGAACCTGCAAGGCCAGTCTACAGAAATAAATTATTTTAAAACACCACACCTTAATTGAAAAAATCCTAGAATATAACTTTATTGTTAGGTAAATCCTCACTTATTTTCCTTAAAATCTGTAAAAAATCCCATTTTGTAATTGCATTTGTGATAAAGAAAAATTCACTCCTTCACACATGTACAGTTTTTTAATCTGAGGACTCTAGCATGTAAATGTAAATTTATTACCTAATTGTTTTCCTCAAAAACATTAAAATAAAAGTAAACTAAGTAGTGGACCCACATTACCTCAAAGTTTTGACTATAAAGACAGTTAAAGAAAAAAAAGCAGTAAATATGCCATATCTGTTAAAAACAATTTGTGAATTTTAACATATAAATTAAAATGTAACAGCTTGGAATTACTATTCTTTTCAAACCTAGCAGGCTCAATGAATCAGTACTTCCATCCAACTGCCTGACATGTAAACTTACTTTCTGCCAAAACCAGTCTGCCTGCCTTTTTGTAGTACATCACCATCCAGGCCACTTAACAAAACACAACTGGGTCCTCAGACAGGTCAACAGTAATGTACTCAAAACCACTCAAGCCTGGTATCTTGAATTTATCATATTGTGATGCTACAATCAGCAAACTAGGAGACAAGGAACACAATTCTCTCTTGGAATATAAACAAAAGGTTTGAATGGGTATTCTTCTGACTCAAATAAGGAAACTAAGATCAGAATTCAGATGAATTACATCTCCAATGAATAAAAAAATCCATTTTAATAGACTTTTAGAGCAGATGTCTTGTAAGAATATAAGCTCATACCTCCTCTTGAAAATGATACAGGAACACTTTGCTAATTAGGTAACATTTACTAACCTTGCAGGGAAAGTTCTGCCCTGCAAAGAGCACACTGACACTACTCATTCATCAGTAACTCCAGCATGCAAACCACTTGGATCACATTGGCTGTCTTCACTAACCTCTGCAGGAAGAACATTTTCCCAGTTTTACTTCTCTTCAGGTTTTTGATTTCTGAAATATCTGGTTTATTAATGTGTTTATTCAAATTCAAAATCCATATAAATATTCCAGGGAGAAGAAAACATGTTATGCGTTACCAGATTCCAGTGCTCTTCATGAATAAGACTAATACCAGGAGAGTGCATACTGAGATGAGATGAATTTTACATAGAAGGGTGAGGAGAAAGGTAAATTATTTATAATGTGCTAAAAATATGCCTTATTTATTTGATATGGGAGACTTCCAAATTACCTTTAAACTGCATTTTAAATCATCAGGTTTAAATATACTAACTAGTTTTGCAATAGGAGAAAAGCAGATAAAGTAAGCCTTCTTTTGAATTAGCTATAATAAGGTAATATGCTATAAAGAAGCCACCAGTGAATAGGGATTATGGAAAAGGGTACCAAGAAGATCCTTTCACCCACAATTACTGTATGTGAAGCCCCATCAGTAACTTAACTCTGGAATGTTTTTCTACTTAAAATGACCAGCATGCAAAGTGCTTTGCAGTTGTCAAAAAGGCATGTTATTTTAAATTCTCACTGTTCACTCGTAAAGTGACACCTAGTATGAAAAAAAAAAAAATCTAAAATGCTTTTAGTGAAATCTGTACATATTGGTCTCCACAACTATTTGCAGCAATACTTATAATATCTTAAATTGATTTTTGAAGACTTGTGTTTCATATCAACATTTCTTTTTTCAGCAATTCAGCCATTATTCAGCAACTGAGTTACTAGGATGGTCTTATTACCACCTGTCACCCATGAGCAAATCTTATTTTACATTAAAGTGCATAAAGACTTTTCCTCAGTGCTACTTAAATACGGTTATTTCACCTATATTTCAACTTGCATGTTCAGTACTCATGACCTTCTTAATAAAGACTGGGTCTCAAAGAATCTGGTACAACTTGAGTACCTACTGCAGAAAGCCTTGAGACAATTGTACACAGCACTAGAATTTCACATTTCCAAGTTATAAACTAATCACTTATCTCTGATTGTTGAGGACCACTGATAGAATTACTCTACTTTCCCAAACAAGCAAGGTCAAGATATACAAAAATTCAGAGTAAGTGGTTTTGAATTCAGGTAATATCTAAAGGTAAATAAATTAAAAATACAATGTATTCTTTGTTTAATTATAAATAGATAATTTTTTACTATTATATATTCCAGCTACATCTCTCATATCTTCTAGCAAAGACCATATCTGGCAATAGAGTCTATTAAAATATAAAAAGCCAAAAATGCCAGGTAACTTTTAATAAGCACTACCATAAATATCTCCCAGATCACATCTGAAGATACTTACAAATAAGAAAACAAGTGTTAAAGTAGGGGAAAAAACCAAAATTTAAAGAGAGGAAGTGCACCGAAATTTGTACGCAGTAATTTTTCACAGTAGCTCAATGTACTCTGGCTAAACCCATCCAGCTGGCTCCTCTAAGGTGAAAAGCCTTGTTTTCCTCAAGTGCAGCTGCAATGGTGGCAAAAAGCAGGTTTCCAGGTCATGGTACTTGAGATAAGGCCAGTGCCCATATGAAACAATTTATCTCATAGAAAAGAAAAACTGTGAAACAATCACACAGTTGAAATGTTACAATTTAAGGTTGGCAGGTTCCACTGGAACAAACTCTTCCTATCTAATCTTAATATCTCCCAAGAACCTTTAATGATATCTTGAAAGAAACTAAAGAAGTGCAAACAGACTGCAAAGGGACACAAATGGGAAAACTACATGTGTTGTGTAGTTTCAGGCAGCTGTATTTGCCAAACTAAACCTCAAGTTTTAAGTTCTGAATTGCAGTAAATATACTTGGACTGACTCTCCTGTGGAATTTAACTCAAGTAGCTTTTTGAAACTGTTTTTCCATGGAAATTTTTGTCTGCAAGTCTAGCGCTCTTCCAGAAACAGAAGCAGTGCTAACAGTCCAGGAAGCCTAGGGCAAAGGAAGCGAGGTATGGTGCGGAGGTCGCTGCAATCCCAGAAGCTTTTCAGCCCTTTACATTACTTCTTCCACAAGGGTAGCAACATGAAGATTTCTCCTGCTCAAGTCTACAGTATCTCCAAATCCACATGACGAACATCAGGATTTCGTTGCTGAAATAAAATTTAAAAACAATATGTTGAAAATTTTCAAGTACATTTTCACACATGGTTACAAGTAATGTGTTTCTGGTATGATGTTGTCAACTGGATAACAAATCCCCTATCTGTGTAACACAGGGACTATTTTAAAATGAGGAAGAATTTCAATAAACATTGTCCATATTATAAAGCATTTTTGGAAGGCAAAGTCATTTTTTTATTTGAAAAATACTTTTAAACATCGTGGATAAATTAGTTCTTATGCTTTATAAAGTATGGAGGAGCTCTCAATTTTAACAAGGCAGTAGAGTTTTATAGAAAACTGTTCAGATACACATATATATCTCTGACTTTCTTAAAGTTTTAACAGATACTTTCCTGAATAATGGGTAAGATTGCTGAAATAATTTGTTCTCTGCCACTGAAGCTAATTATAAAGATTCAGAACACTGTTTCTATGAAGAAATATGCGGTTTTTTGTATTCCAGAAATATGTTATCACCATTACATGAATTGTACAATCCATGAGAAAGTCATGACTTCAAAGACATCCAGCATGTGAACCTGACTAGTCCATTTAGTAAAGCATATTCAATACCAACACAATCACTATATATATATGCCTATACTACAAAGCAGTATCCATGTTCATAAAAAATTTAGGCATGATCCTGCTCCTCAAAAACCATGCATGAAGAAATGATTCAGATGGTGCAATTAAAATCAAAAATAATATTTTGATTCTTAAACAGGACAACCCTAAGGATAGAAACTTAAACTAGAATATTTATGAAATACAACAAGCAAGGACAGACATGCTCTTGAGTAGTGTCTCAAGGCCAGAAGAAACAGCCATAGCAGGACTGCATTTATCTGGGGGTCAGTATACTTGTAGTTCTGAATTCATACCAGGAAGGTATGACTGACAGCCCCAATATACTTACAAAATCAAAAATGGGAACAACCCTTTCTTGCATCAGCCAGAGGGTATTTAAATTGCGGAATGAAAAAAAAAATAAGACAGCTGAGAGGTTTTTGTAAAGTAAAATAAACACTGTACAGCTTCAACAAGAGTAAAAGTCCCATCATCCAGAAATATTTGATACAATTCTAAGAACCAGTTTAAAAAAAAAAATTTCTTTTTTACAGCGAAAACAGAATTCAACAGCCTATAAATAGCCTGGCATTCTGAGAATGCAGTAAAAAAGACACATTCAGGTCTACTGAATGAAAATTTTTTTCTGTTGGTAAAAAATGGAACAAAAAATTTAATAAATAGGTAAGTGGCAAAGTAAGGATTTGCTGGTGGCCAGAACTTAGATAATACTACTAGAGCAAGAAAATCTGCATTTGTAGTATCAACTTCCTTCCCTGTCTCATATTTACAAATTAAATCCCAGAAAGTAGATGCAGAGATATTGTTTCAAATATATCACAGCATAAGCACTCACTAATAAGCAGTTAAATTTACCTTCAGGTCCTTCTCCAGTCTGTCTACTTCAGCTCCCAGCGTGTCAACGATATTCTCACCATGCTTAAGCATAAAGGCTTCTAATTCTTCAAGGGTTTTCACTTGCTGAATTTCCTAGGAAGAAATTAAATTTAAGAGATTGAAATGAGGAAAAGAAAATAAAGGAATAACACTCCAGAGGGTCTTGACATATTTCAAGAGGGAGGGAAAAAAAAAAACCCAAACAAAACACTTCAGCTTTTGCCATTTACTCTCAAAACATCATCTGTTCTTGCGTCTCAAAGACACAGAAGAGCAGCATCTATTCGATGAAAACAGCTGGCTCTGTCATTACACCTGCATTTAATACAAACCTTTCTTCTATCTTCAACTGATTTCCTCCTTAACTTTCCAAATAAGTTTAGAGAATTTCATTCATTTTCTAGAAGTTTCTGAGGTATTCCTCACAGCAAGGCAGAGCAGGGTACCCCTGTGTATTCTTTCTCCATTTTCTACATTCTTGCTATTCCATTACACTGTCTTCTCTAGGCATCACATAATCAACCCAGCTGAAAGTCCACAAGGATTATGACAAATACTGCTGTAAATATGACTCCTCCATAATATCAGAAACTTGAAGACAGTTGACAGGAAGTCAGACTAAGAGACCAACAACATAAAAAACTGAAGTAATGAGATTGAGGAAGACAGAATGTTAAACTCCACTCTCCAAAAAAACACAGACATCAGCAGCACCAAAGCAGGTACTACAGTACTGCCATAGAATCATACAATGGTGTGAGTCAGAAAGGTCCTTAAAGATCACCTATTTGTTCCCTCATTGCCATGGGCTGGGACACTTTCTGCTACACTAGGTTACTCAGGGCCCTATCCAACCTGGTCCTAAACACCTCAAGGGATGGGGCATCAACAACTTCTCTAGTAAACCTGTTCCACTGTTTCACCACCCTAGCCATCACAGTAAAGAGTTTTTTCTTATATCTACTTTATGTCTATCACCTTTCAGTTTAAAGCCATGAGCTTTGCTTAGAGGTCTCACACCAACCTGCCTGGAAGCCATTTGTCCTGTAATTTATCTCAGCTGAAGTATGTTTAGAATAAATAGGTTATTTCAAAAAGATACAAACTATGAAACTACTTATTCTTCTTGTGTATACAAGTGCATGATTTGTGCAGCAACTTCTTTTCCCTTCTCACTACTCTAAAACTGAAGAGGAATAATGTAATTGAGCAAGCTTAAAACGTATCTCAACCACAATAACCCATGACTACAATAACAGCAAGTCTAACAAGAAAAAAACCAAGGTAATCTAAATTATAACATTTCAACAAACATTTCACAACTGTAGAAAGAATAACATTGACAGCAGTGCTAGTTGAATGAGCTGCTTATTTGAAAAAGTACAGGTCAAAAGGCAAGCACACTGTCTGCCTTTAACTTCAGATGGCTGAAGCCTACTGAAAGGAGCTACCCTTCAATGATGTGTTTATAGCTGACATGAGGTTACTACATGTAACAACAATGACCTGTGTAAGAAACAGTTGCCAACCTAGAATCAATCAGGAAGATCTTTCCCAACAATACTCCAAGTATTGTAAGAACTAGTGGAGGCTGTATGCAACTGCCAAAGGGAATAGCAGGTAAAGAACAAAAGCTAACAAAGCCATGAAAAGAAGACTAGTGTACTAAAAACTGCAACAGCAAAGCAACTGGCAATCTATAACCAGCCAACTTGCAGTGTCTCAGTGGTACAAAGCTGACAACACTCTTCCTCTCAAAAGTTTATTAAATTGAAGTCCTGTAGATTAACAGATCAGATATTGCACTATACAGACACATATTTAATTCTTATTTTGACATTAAGATATTTTTAAAACTGGGATACTGACTTAATGATTTTAAAAATTGCAATGTAACATTTAAAGGTAAACTTAACTTCTAAGTCATGCTTAATGGACAGACAAAATGCAGATATCTGTATTTCATTTTGAAAGGGTAGAAAAGAAATTTTTTTCAACAAACAAATGTATATAAGAAAGGTACCAGTGAAAACAAAAACACTGTCTTGCCAAAACATTTTGCTCACTTAAAACTCTCCTTTTAATTTAAATAAATAATTATTTCATAATTCTGCCATATAGAATACAGCAGAGAATAGTTCTGTCCTGAAAAGAGGGCTTAAGAAAAGCTACTCTGAACTACACTGAAATCAGAGACTGACACTTACTAAAGATTGTTAATTCTTAAACATCATCAAAGTGCTCAATCACGTGACACAGGCAATCCATATTCACACTGAATCTGAATGGCTGGACCTGTAAACCTGCACCACCAACACCCAGAGCAAATGGCTCTGCCAAAACAGATGCCTATTTGCAGGTGACAAGCTTCTAGTTTTAACTGCAGATCTTGTAATTCAATAAATGTATTGGAAGAATTATGGTCTCAATTTTTTTAACAAATCTGTATTTTCTAACAAAATAATCACAGAATCATAGAATATTAAGTGTGGAGGTGGCACACAAGGGTTATTTACTCCAACACTTATATGAATGGCCAGTGCAGGGAGCAAATGCATAACCTTGGCATTATTAGCACCTGGCTCTGACCACCTGAACCAATCTCAAGGGTAATGAGTTTAAAAAAAAAGTCCGCCTTCCTCCTTCTCAGGCCAAAAGTAGGTCTTTTTCAGCAGCACATAATACAGTTCTCTCTAAGTACATTCAAAACTCTAACATAAAGTAAGAACATCTGCAACCCTCCAAAAGAAGTGAAATGTATCTCATCTACTTGCAAGTCTTGGGTTCAGAGGTACTTGAAATTGAAAAGTAAGTATCAAATATTGGGGGTTACAAATGCAATTTTTTCTACATACTTGTAGCAGCTGTTCAATATCTTGTTTTTCCAGGTAAGACCGAGTAACCACACGTCCATCAAAGTCTACTTCTGCCTTGAATCTCACTTTGCTCATTCCCATGTCTGTGGCTTTAACATCATGAATTGCTCTGAAACACACACATTTTCAAAGACAATGTAAAACAACATATAACAAACCACTAGCCAGTTTGACTTCTCATGTTAACAATACTGTCACCACAAAATGTTCCTGTAATTTTAAAAGCTCAGTCTTTGACAAAACCTCATTTTGCCCACCCACACTTCCATTAAATACTGATTTATGTTTAACTGGTTACATCACTTCCACAGGTTTTTGCAATACCAAAATATCTATAAATCACTGCAATAGAAGACAGACAACCAGAAGCATCACAGATTTAGAACTAGACTAACAGTATATTAAAAAAATTCCACAATTAAAAATGTGAGAATTTCCCCATTCTGTATTAAAAGTTTAAGTCCAACTTATTTTCCACTGCAGAGAATTTTTCGTGCATATACACGACACTATTTAAGAGTCTTTAAATACCCTCAATTCTGAGGAAAGGAACTTGTTAATTAATGAAAGGACACATTGCAATTATAGAAGTGTCCTTTCCTAAAGTTGGTAAAGGCATGATCTTTTGGAGAGTTTTCAAAAATACACTTAAGAAAAAGTTAAGGATATTGTGTTTGGAACTCATTTTTGATCCTTCAGAACTATTAATCACAGCTTATCAAGATACATCTGTTTGTAAATGCTGAAAATCTGTATTTATTTAAAGGCTCCTAACAAACACTAGAACAAGAAACCTCTAATGTTTATATTTTGGTACCTTGAAAAATTCTGGGTTTCTGTAGCAGAGTTTTGTTCCAGCTTGTTGGACAAATTCTAATATGTGCATATAGGTAGTAAACAACAAGCTCTTAATTTTTCTGGGATAAGAAGCAAACTCAGGACCAAGACATATAGTGATAAATTTCAAGAGTGAAATAAACACAAAATAAAATACTTGACTTTTTCCTAATTATATTAACAAAAACTCAGTTTATCTTCAAAGCCAAGAAAATTTTAAATTGTCACTGCAGAGCAAGTTTACATATTTTCCTGTCAAAGTCAGAAAAAATAAGTTGACACTAAAACATAGGACACGAATCACAAAAGGTTCACATTTTAAAATTCTTGCTTCTGACATTTTCAAAGTAAAACAAGCATAAAAGATTTCAAAGACTTTTAGTTTTATTAACATAAAAATGCATTCTTGATTATTTGGTAAATTCTAACACATGAGCAATGCAGCTCACTTGATGGAAAGTACCAAACTTTACCTCCATTTATTTTGCTAAATCGTGCAATGTCACAGAATCTGTAAATTCAGCATGCCCTTTGTCTTAAGCAAATTTACTCTTCCCAACTAGAAATGCTTCTTTGTATATGAATGTTTATAAATCAGAAATAACTTCACAGGCAGTAGTGCAGGAAGAAAGCAAAAGGCATGTATGTTGGAAGGAGCCTGTTAGAATGAACAGCCAAAATAGAACAGGAGACAGAAACTTTAAGATGAGTAATCACAGGAAATTTTTACAGAATACTTCTTGTAATACTCAGGGTAGAAGAGAGGAAAGTATATTAAAAAAGAAACAGAACATGAACTAAATACAGAGACACGAAAAAATACATCTTAGTAAATATTTAAGCAGATTAAAAGAACTATCAGCTTACTGGTAGCAATAAATACTTTCCAGCTCCATTCCAATTCACACAACTATTCTGTGGGAAGTTATCAAATCAAAACAGTATTAATTGGAGCAAACTAGATGGCATCAAACTACCTCATCCCAAAGAGGGTATTTAAGATAATAGATGTGGTTAATAAAGATAATTTGGAGCCATAAACTGTTGAAGACATATCAAGTGGCTATCAGAACTAGGCAACAAGATAACAAGTGGTATTTCAGATTCTCATTAAGAAGTAGCCTGATAAAATTCAGTGAAATTATGCATATTCCATAAATATGAAGGAAAACAGTCTACCTTAGTGCATATAATCTGCCCAGGAAAGATAAAGACACTGAGTCAGGAGGAGAAAAATCACTAATCATTCAAAAATACAAATGTGTGTGCTAAATCTTAAGCTACAAAGGTTGCTTATGGAAGCTTCTGCATGGTTAGTAGACACCATCAATTCTAACTAGGGAAAAGAGCAAGTTTCAAATTAATGAAAAATTTGTCAGAGAACATCAAGTTGTTGGTTTTGAGCAACTGGTTGTAATATTTTTGTTTTTCGTTCAAACCAGAATGACAGATTTTCCAGCACAACAGAAGCACCACTATACAACAGCTGTTACAATTAAGTAAAATTAAAGATGAAACTGTCACTATGTCTAGGAATCTGTGATTAAATTCTATAAGAACAGAATCAGGACAGAGTCTGTACCACATCACATATTTTATTTCACTGTTATGAAGGGCTAATCTCCCACAGTTCAGTTAAGCTGAACACAAGAATGATTTATGCACCAAAGGTGTCAATGAGAGTTAAGAATTCAATGTTTGTATAACAAAAATAAAATCAAATCATTTTCCAGCTGAGAACAACTCTGAAAACTATTCAGGATCATGAGTTAAACATGGGACACAACTAGAAATTACTAAGAAAAATGAAAAGAAATGGGAAATTATAAAGTCCAACAAGCTGAAAAGAGAAGCAGAAGAAAAAGTCACAGCGTGAGATATAAACCAACTTTTTAAAAGTATTGGAAAGGATAAAAAAGGATACAAAACCAAAGGATAACATGGAAACAAGTCTGCTACTAGACAGAAATGGAAAATTGTTACTGATGAAACAGAATAGGAAAAAAAATGCAGTAAGTGTCTTTAAAAAAAAAGCAAGATTAGTACAACAAAGCATTTCCCTACTTAGAGCAGAGAAGCATATTGGATATTTAAATGAAAGAAAATGCTTCTAATCCAACAGGTTCCATAATTTATATTCAAGAGTTAAAAGAACTAAGAATAACTGTGAAGGCAAATAAATTTTTCATCTTGCAATACTGATGAGAATTAACAAAAAAACCAGATTAACAACACTGTGCCAAAATTTAAGAAGAGTAAATAAGTCCATCTATTTAAGTGAGGACAGCTTCACCTGACAACTGAAGGAAAAATAGTTAGAAAGGTGGAGAGAAGAATTCTATATTAAGAACACTAATTCAAGTCATTAAGATTTTAAGCAATGTAGGCCTTGTCAAACAATCCTGTTATGAAAAAAAAAAAAAGTATCAAGATTTAGTTGAAAAAATATCACCACCAGAGACTTATTTTAGTGGGACAGCAGTTAGTATTGTCTGATAATCAAATACTTCATAATTAGCAGTGGATCACAATGTTCAGTCAAGCTACTGCTGGAATGGAAACTTAAGTGTGGTGCTAACAGGGGCTGAGGGAGTAGATATCAGAGCCCCTGGATCCTTCTGTCAATTTGGATCTAAAATACTTTCTGATGAATACTGAATGATTCCCTAATAGATCTCCTGATTTGGCAAAACACATCTGAAAATAAACATTGCAAACCATGCCTGAAAGAATAAGGGAAGAATATTCTGGGAGCAGGAACAGCAAAAAGCATTGCATTGAGAACTGAAAGCCCTGAAAGGCTGAAATAAAAAAGCAAAAAATAGTCACTATTAGAAGCAGGCCAAATCAGGAGCTTTTTCTTTTACATGTGGTTTCAGAAGGATATGTAAGAGTGCAACACACTACTACACATCTCCATTTAAGAAAGTGTGAGAGTTTGAATGTTCAAGAAAATGCTGACACTCCTAGAAGTCCAAAGCTTATATTGAAGAAAATATACAGGTATGCCTTGGAAGAAATACCTAATGTTAAAAGGCTTCCTCATTTCACTGCTATAATTTTTTTCCTTATTTCAGCCTTTGGTTTGTTTTTTTTCAGCTTTTTCTCCAAATCATACCTATCTATACCTAGTAACAAGCAAGGGTAATATAAGTTTACATTGCAGAGAACTGAGATTAAGACCAGGTGTCACCTCAGAAGATGTGTTACCCAAGCTAGAGATAGCAAGCTTGTTGTAAGAACTGGATCAAAGACAAACTGGGCACTGAAAGGAATCAAAGCTGGTAACATGATGGATCTAAGAAAGAGATAACTGAAGACAAAGTGCATACAGAGAGTATGATAAGCAGCTAAACATGTTTCAGCTTCTAACCTCAAAGAAATAAAAATATTGCAATATTTTTATATTTATTTATATTTATTTATATGCAATTTCTCACAAGTCTTTATTTCTTTTATTATTCATGCTTTTTTAAAGTAAGGTACTTATTGTTTTTAAAAAAATGTTTACAGCAAGAAGAACATGAACTAAGTCTGCTCTGTTGAGAAGTCAGAGCCACCTACAAAACGGACTACAATATAAAATGGTACTTGGCCTAGGAGAAATTTTATTATTTCATCCTGAGATGAGCAAAAGCCACCTGTGCACTTTGGAAAAAAGAACTACAGAAGTCATGTGAACTCACCTACTCTAACACAGCACTGTTGACACATCCTTCACCATTCAGACTAATCCAGGGCCACCACAAATACTTAATTTACTGGCATGTGACAATTCTAACAGAATTCTATTCCAAATAGAACTTAGAACTGTGATGGTGCCAGCACTTAGTTTCTTTCAAGTACTCTGGCATTATTAACTAATGGGCTTGGAGTTTTTCCCTCCACAGCTCAAAAATTACTACAAATAAAAAAAGCACTACAACACTTCAGCTGATTTACACAGAAATATATTCCTAAATAAAGATCGAAAAGAAAACAAAAAGAAGTTTGTTTCTAAATCAAGATTAATAGGGTAAAGCTAAAATAGCTCATTGAAAAGCATTTAAGCAAGATTTAGAATTACAATGAGCTATAAGTTTACTACAAATCGCAGACTTGCTAAGAAGGAGAAATTAGCAATGACTTAATTTATAAGCATATAACATGAGGAATCCATTGCATCATATATTACTGCAGCATGTCCTGCCAACTACTACAGAATTCCATGCACTGAATATTAACAGTAACAGAATTTAAATATTTAGGTGCTAATAAACTATTCAAACAACATAATAGTATCATTTAAGTGCTCGCATTTCATGAATTTGAAAATAGTTTTAAGTTTGTGATGGCTTTCTCATTAGGTCATTGTCAATTCCTGCAATAATTGTGACAGTTAGAATGTATCTGCAATGCTATTTTAGCTGTTGAACACCCGAGAGGTACAAGTATTCTTTTACTATAAGTTTTAGCACAGAAATAGAAGTCAGCAATAATAAAGACTCTAGAATCCCTATACAGAAGATTCCACACTAAAAGTAATCTTACCAGATTTCTCTCATTAAATGTTTTCTTGCTTTTTGGTGTTTATAGTAGAGACTGAGCTGTACAGGTTCTTACCTCACGACAGGATCACTTTCCAGTAACTCGGTGAGCCGCTGCAGCTGCTCAGGCTCAATGGATCGTCCCAGCAGCGCCTCCGTGTTCGTGTAGATCAGAAATGCTGACACAGTTCCTAACAAAGTTCCAACACCTAGAGACCCCACACTGTCATAATAGGGGTTTCCTAAACAAGATATAGCAAATTAGTTTCACGGAGTATTTCTAAAACATAGCAGAGAATTCTAATTTCACATGGAAAAGAGTTCATAGTTTTGAGGGGTTTTCTGGGTTTTGCTTTTTAGTGAGATTTTTTTTGGTTGGTGTTTTTATTTTTTTTAGTCAGTCATTTATTTTACTTTTTTCTTTTCTTAATTCAGTGGAAATTTTTTCCTACTGAGGAACATGATAAAGCTGGAACAAAACAATTTATCATAAAAAAAAAGGCTTAAGTCCCTCCTGTCCCTTGACCACTCCTGTCTCCTGCAGGACTAATAAATGAGTAAACTCTTGTCTGTATGTGTTTCTATATTAGTAAACATAAATTTATACACAAAGTTATATACACTGAAACATAGGTAGCAGAACAAAATCCAGTGTTCTTTCATCAGTAACTCAAAAATTTGCAAGTATTAACCATTTCTGCAACATAGTACTTAAAAAGTCTCAAACATTTATTCATGTTCAGACCTACAGAAATAGTACTGTGTTTTTAAGTTGATGAAGGAAACTAGAAATGAAATTTTAAAATTCCTTCTATATAAAAAGTGAAACTTGTAATTAAGTCATTAGAAGCCACAAGAAACAAAACTCCAATATTTATTCCCTTTAAAAAATCAATTCTTAAAAAGGGATGAATAAGTAAACATCCCTCTTTAGAAAACTTAACGATGCAGCAAAGATGTACTTTGAACCACTTGGCATACAGATCATCTTACCTTTAGTAAAAAAATAACTTAGTTTGTAGGACAAAACAGCTCAAACATCTGCTTACAGAGTACAAGTATCAGAAATGAAGAGCAGAGACATATTTAAGTCAACCAATATAAATGAAATGATCTGTTCATATCATGCAAGGGAAAAATCCACGTTCTGTGCAGAATTTTACCTGTTAAAGAAGTCAGTCCCATACAGGTTGCAGCTACAGCCACGCTCAGGACGGCTGCAGCATCCTCCAGTAACACCACATTGGTACTAGGATCACGACTCTGCACAACTGCACACACAACAGAAAAAAGTTACACTGCTCTGAAAATTTAGCTTTACTATGTTATGCATTAACATAGTAAATTAACTTAAACTATAATAACAACCGCAATTTAAAAGAACAATTTATGTAATTATATAGGTGTAAACTGAATTTTTGCATATGCTCACACTTCCGAAAGCATTTATACATACACAGAACAAGTCCAATTATGGCAGCTTCTCAAAAATGTTAGAAAAATTAAAAGGGGCATTTATCCTGAAAAATACTTGCACTTAGTCAAGTGTTTAATAGCGCTCTTAAATCAACAGTTCTCACCTAATTTGTAAAATGTTATTTGTTAGTAAAATAGAAAACAGATCAATAAAGGGAAGGTAAGAGGGAAAACAGAAAATTGTTTCTATCATTATGGAAATACTAGTGAACAGATTGTTTATTTAAATAACACCACATACCTTACTGCTATAATGATACATACCATATTGATAAAATGAAAGACCCTTGGCTCGAGCACTCCTTCGAATTTCATTTATAGCAACAAGCAGGGTGGCTGAAACAACAAAGTTGTGGCTGACAATTGCTAGAGGCAAAAGGGGTTTTTCCATTTTGAAAAGAGGAGCTTTTTGTTAAACTATCATAGTGACAGATCATCAAGAAATCTCTGATTGTTGGTACTTTGAATAAAGTATAGTTACTTTTTTTTTTTCCACAAGTGTGTCTCCCATACAAATCAGAACAGTTATATTTGTTGATAGTTTAATACTGAAAAGGCAATCCATGTCTACTTTCCAAATTTTGTGTTCTTCAACTTCTTACTATATAGACACATATAAAAAAGAAAAGTTTTAACATTTCTTTTTGTCTATTTACAAGTATTTGCAACAGAGCTCAAAATTTCACTGTGTAAGCAAAGATCAATTATTACTGTAATTACTGGCATTGTAATCTTAAGAGATTAAAAATACTTAAATAGAAACTTGAAACTGCATACCTCCTTCTGATACCAATGATCCTGCTAAAATGCAGTATGCCTGTATGGAAAAAACAAGAATCAGATATGATATTATATTATATGCCTATTTCTACAGATCTCTTCACCACAGGCTATCCAAATGTAGCATTCCAGAACCACATTACCCACAGTATCATGTAATTGTCCCTAAACAGATAGAAACCAATAATAATTGGATCATACAATATATTCCAAAACAGGACAGCAGGACCTTTTGGAGGACGGGATATGAAAGGAAGATGCAGGGTTTAGACAACAGCTCATTTTGCTTCAGGATCAACTATAGTTTAAAGATTTTTTTTTTCTTAAAACACATTTTCATTAAGAATGGTTTGAGTTGATTGTGGTGGGACTCAAACCGACTCAGGAAGTGAGTTTCAGACTATGCCACTATTTTTTATTAAGTCACTGGTGTTAAATACAATACCAAACAAGATTAGCTTACCCAGAGAAGAGATTCCACAGGATGAGGGTGGAGTAAACCTATGATCCCATGATACCAAGAAAGTCCTGCACCCATCATGAAAATGCCTACTCCACTAATCAGGGAGGCAATATAGCGCATATTTGTGAAACCATATCTAGAAGAAAGAAAAAATTATTTTAGGAAGATTCTACATCGCTACAAACATATCTCAGAGTTTGCCATTAATTTTTACATGACTTAAATTATCATCATATGACTTGGCATCTATTTAAGTCAAAGCTGCTAAATTCAATCTAATACAAGGGGGAAAAAAAACCTACTTGAAAAAGGATATCTAATACATGTAAGGACATCAAGCATAAATGTTTTTCTAACTTGTTTTTAAACAGCTGTATTAGCTCTTATACAATGACTGAGGATTTTATTTTACAACTGAAAAGAAACCTAAAATAAACAACATTTGTACCACTTCATGATTTTAGTGAAATGCTACTTCTAAATGTGGACTCTAGTTTTGTGAGCAACACAGTATTCTAATAGGAATAAAATTTACACATTTCTCAGTAGTTCAGCTAACACTTGCAGTTTTTAAGCACAGTAGAGGAATTAAAGCAATAATTAAAGTTTGTGTTTATCCCTTTTTTTGGTTTTAACTCCATCTACAAACAGTGCACTTCTTTTGTCTATATTGAGGAAGAATGGAAAGGAGTGAGAGGAAAAAATGAGATATGATGAATATTTGCACAAATTTAAGATTTAAGTTTTCCAAATTTTAATGATGCTGTTAATGGAAAAAAAGCATAACTAATCCCATAAATTAGACACATTTTTGAAGTAGTACTTTAGACTTGTCCAAAAATATGAGGAGTAAAACAGCTCAACACCGAGAAAATATCATGGAGAGTACAGCTTATAACTTTCATGAACTTCTAAGAACTTATCAAGTAATATCCCTATAACTAGATACAAACAAAGAGCAGTTTATATCAAACACAACTCCTTATGGTACAAGTAACTAGCTTGCATAAAAGCACTTTGTCGAAAAAAGGAAGAAGACAGTAATTTATTTTTTTTTTAAATCCTGTGATTCACACGAACAGTGTTTAAAAAGTAGATCTATTAGTTGGAAGAGGCAGAAGAGCCCAGAACAACTTAGAGAAATAATGGCAATTAAAATAAAACGGAGCAGAAGCATAGCACAAAAAAATAAAAAAACCCAACACATGCACCAAGCCATTGAAATTCCAGCTCCTGGAGCTTGAAAGAAAACCCTTTTCTTAGTTTAGCTCTTGTAAAATCAGAAATAATATGTTTCAGAAATGACACAGAACAGCAAATTAAAACAACAAGGTGATGCACAAAGAAGAACTGATCTTACTGCTAAATATAGTTACCAAAATCTTTATTTACTCAAAAAGCTTACGGATGACTAGGGTCAGGCGTCCTTGCAGACTGACTGATGCCCAAAGCTAGCAATGCCTATTTAAGACAAGAGGTTAAAAAAAAATATTAGAAACTTTCTGTATCAACTGAACTTGAAAGGTAAAGGCAAATGTAATTTGTTGAACTGCATATATGCTTTGCTACTGATATTAGAGGTGGAATATAATCCTCAAAATTTGTCATCTAAATTTACCACTCCCAAAAAATTGTTAGTTATACCTACATATATAATATATATGCAATTATATGGTGTGTATATATAATTACTGTTAATTATAATTTAAGAATCGCAACTGAAAATGAACATTAAGTGCAATCACAAGTGTTGTTGCTGTGCTTCAGTGTGAAGGAATGAAGTTGCTCAGGGAACAAAGCTATTTAAATAAATCCCTCTTGAAGAGAAACTATACTGAGACTGTGGTGTAGTAGGGCGATGGCAACATTTAAAGCAGTAACTTTACACTGCAACTTGTCAGCATGTTTTGAAGGAAGAAATAACCTCTTGCTATCTAAATTGCCTACCTGGGGTATATTCAATTAGGCATGTATTAAGTTGTTGATGCAGGAAGTTATAAATCTAGACCTGAATTTTGCAAAGCATGTGTTTTGTTTAAGACTATGGATAATGAAACATAGTAACAAGTAAATTAATATTAAATAAAAATAAGAATATTAAAATGCAGATACTTTAGTCTTAGCAGCAAGCTGCTTTGAGAAAGCAAGGTTTCTCCTGTGTTTTTCCCAAAATCACACACTCAATTACTTGGAAAAACAAAACAAAACTCCCCATTTCAGTGGAACATTCAACTTTGGTATTTAAAAAACAGAGTAGCTCTTCAATGCATATAATACCACTATTAAACTTGGTTCACCAAGTTCACATTGACACACTTGGCCAAGTGAAAAATCACACATTTTCATACTTAAATTTATGGGGAGGCCAGCCTTATCAGTTGAATTAGGAACACCCCTGTCTTCGCTTTACATCTGGATCACCTGAAAGACTGTGTGAAACCATCAAACAAAATGTGAATTGTCAACTCAGTCTTTCTGGACAGAGAAGCATACGGGGTCCAACTCAAGCAAAAAGTTTGTCAAACCTATATTAATAGACTTTTCAATATATTCAGTCTGCTCTAAGGTCCCACAGATTCCTCAGATTTGGAGGAGCACAAGACTGTTGCATTTTATGAGTGACAAGCTACCCAACAACTCCTTTTGCTTGAGCTGCAGGAGCCTTTCCTTCAACCCTTTCTTTAAGGGTTGATTTTTTCCCCCCAAAGCCTTGCAATATTATTTCAACGTCTCATAACGTATGCTTCAAGCACACTATAGAAAACACTGGAAGAAACAACAATAATTTTATCCCTGCACATTAATATTACGTGTCAAATTCTGAGCCTGCCACTCCACTTCTCAAAGTAAATGTGCCACATATGGGGCTACTTGTGCTGTGACAGGCTGATAGGTAATCAAGGAATAGAAAAACAAAACAAGATGCTCAAATTCCCATCGTTATTCTACCTAGAGATGAATAAGTAACAAAGTCTGTCATTGTATTACAGTAACTGACAGGAAAAGCATTTCTAGTTAACATTTAACCAAAATACTAACCAAAATCATTTTAGTTTCAAGTACCATTCATGATCCATGAAGTAGCTGAGTACAGTTCTTACTGCAACTCCACTCATTCAACTTATTTCTAAAAATCTTCAAAATCTACATTCTGTCTTCTCATTTTTACATTAATACAAATAAAGAAGCAGCCTATTTTTTTTTTTAATTCAAGCGCATTACAACTACTCTAAGTATCTGTTTTTATTCCTAGGTTTATTACAAGTACTAACTTGAACCGAATGGAAAAAAAATACTCACCTGGTTACATGTGTCTGCTAAAGAATGTATGGCTTCTGAAAACATACTTGCAGAACCCGTGTAAACCCAAGCAAGTAGCTTAAAGAAAAAATTCAACCCATTTCTGAAAACAAAGAGAAGAAATAACAGAATATTTGATGCTTAATATTTTCAGCAAAGCTGGAAGTGCTGTACAATCATGTGTTATCTGCCAGAAAGGGTCAACTCAAATATCAGCTTAATAATTAGAGAGCTGTGCAAACAGATAATTCTTAGAGATTTTCTGCATCATGGTTACTGTGAAAGAAGTCCTTTCAGCTAAACTTGATAAAAATACACAATTTACTTTTCAGAAATCATTAACTTCTAAGCAGTTCCAAATCAGTTACACTTCCTGAAAACGACCATCACACTCACTACTCAGAGCAACAAATTTTCTACCAGTGGGAGAATACAAGTCTTTACAACTTCCTTTTCTGTTTTTTCAGTCCTTTGCCTCCTACACATCCTCCACCAATGCTGTAGTGCAAGGAAATTTTCTACCAGTGGGAGAATACAAGTCTTTACAACTTCCTTTTCTGTTTTTTTCAATCTTTTGCCTCCTACACATCCTCCACCAACACTGTAGTGCAAGATTCCCTACTTCATCCTCAGTCTGAGCCATTCTCAGTAGGATACAGATGTGAGACAACAGACAAGAAGACAAGGCTGTCACTGGATTACACTGTAAAAATTATCTATGGAACTTCTCCATTAAGATGCTCAGTGTGAATTACGAAGGCATTTATACAGCTACAGGTTTACTGGAGTAAACATTGTCTTATGATGCACAAAGGTAACTATCAACACCAAAGTCCAAGTCTACATTCTCACTTCAAACATTATCAGAATCAGTATGTTAATTGCTATAAACATATTGCACAGAAAATCAGACTAGAGGATTATAATATCTTCCTCTATATTTTTTAACATGAGTTTCATTTATTGCCAATTATTTAAGTATCTAAATAAATTGTTATAAGAAACTATTAACAACATCTTCTAGTATTTTAACATGTGCCAGAAATTATATTCAAGTTAGAGGAAGCAAACCCAGCAGATTCTGAGAAGGCAGCATTCAATTAGAAAAGAAATAACAGTACACAGAGAAAAGTGAATTCTTTTCTGTTGATCATATGGAACATTCTTTAAAATGTATGAAAAGCTTCCTCTCAAGAAGGAGCAAGAAAAATGGACAACTTCAAATACCTGCTTCTTCAGGTCCTTCAAAATTTTAGTTTTTACTTTAAGAAACAGTATAGGGTGATCAACTCAAAAAAATTGCTCTTCTCTGTAACATCTTTATCTTAAATACACACAACACACACTGTTACTATTTCCATGATAATATAAATAAATTACTTATATTGCATAAACAAAACTTTTTTTTTTTTAAATTTTTTTTTTTGTTGTTGTTGTTTTGTTTTGTTTTACTTACATGCAAATAGCTACCATTACCACCTTCCCTGGTCCCTTGAAAAACATAGCTGCTGTACTGGAGCGTGGCTACATAAAGAAATAACAGATTATTCAATAATTAAAGCTTGATCTCATGAGACACCTACCATGCAAATTAAATAAAAAAACTTTGCACTGCCCTGTAATGCAAAAGTTCTTGAAGGCAACTAATTTACTACTAAATGTTCAGCCAAACTGCAGTTGGGTCTTAGGTATTTCTACAAATGGTTGGCCATTTAAAAGATAAACGTCCAGGGAAGTCTCCAGCAGAGGCCACTGCAGCCAAAAGGCCCAGAGCCCACTAAGGAATCATTCTGTACATCCAAGCACCTGGATCTAGGTTGTGTGTCTACTTAAGCAAAAAGGAAAGGCCAGCAGTGCATAGACAAAAGCATTCATCTTCTAGGGTCTTTTTTCTTAAAGAAACTTACTTAGGTTTTTTTAAATTAACAACATATTCACTACATACAGTAGTAATAGGTTATACTTGAAATCATGTGTACAGCTGCAATTTTGATAAGAAGGCAACTGAAAGAAAACCCTCTTACTGGTGGATTACATTGTCACAGTAGGAACCCATTCAAGCTGTCATCACAACATTTACTACTGCATAACAATCAGATATAGATCTGGTACATCACAGTGCAAAAAAATCTTCCAGTAATATTCAGTTACACAAATTTTCCTTCAAAAGGTGTCATAACATATTTCACTACACTTTTCTAGCCAAACACTTGAAAATGACCTTACCTTAGTATTTCCAAAGAACTCCTTATATTCCCACAACAGCCTTTGGTTTCTAAACAAATCTGCAGTACAAAATTTGCATCAAGAATATGTATTAGCAACTAGCAGTTTCAGGAATTGAAGTCTACTTTTTTATGCAGCAGCCAACTTCTGATAAGAGCTAGATGATCTATGAAAAAATTCCTCCCTTGATATTGTTAATAAGAAACACATGTTGTTATATACTCATGCAAAATGCCAAATTCAATTTGTTATTATCCTATACATGGTTACCATTTCCACCAACAAATGATAATGCACAGAGAAAAAAACCTCAAAATATACTTCTGCAAATTCATTTTATTTATATCCAAAAATTTTATTTATATCCAAAAATTATTATTCAGGTCAATAAAAATGTTGAGGTTCCTGACTGCACTTTCAGTATACGTCACAAGCTACTGATTTGGCTGTACATGTTACTGGTAATACCAGCAAGGATAATAAAAATACTATTACACCAAAAAAATTATGTGGGGGTACTTCTCCCCTTCTGAAACACAAAGGCAAGCTGAATTCTTTTCAGAGTAAAATAATTAATGAGTAGTGACATGGTATAAAGATTTGGATGAGTTTTAACTCTTCTCAAAATTCTCAATTAGATAAAATGCAAAAGCATTGAAAATGTAAATTATCATCTAAAAATCGAAAGCCTCCCACCAAGACTATGACTACAGATCTCCACTGAATATATGTTCTTCCTACATCACAAAGATGATAAATTGCAAGACAGTAACAAACTGTATCTGCACAGATAGTAACATTTTACTCTAAGATTACGCCATAAAACCTAGTCAGCAATTGCTAGTTACAAATTTACATGTTTTCAATAAAGTAACACTATCTTGTGGATTTCTACATCCTTGTAGAAATGTTCCTTGCTACATTTCAAGGTATTTGAGAACTCTACTCACTTTCTCTGTACTTGATCTCTGCCTCTTTACGTCGCTTTCTTTCTCTGGCAAGAGCCTCTGGACTACCCCAAACTTCAAGAGACCTGCATGAAGTAAAAGTATCCTAAAAATGTTTCTATTCACCCAACTTTTTTTTCAAGCATAAAACCATACCATTGAATTCTTATACACAATGTAATTATAATAATCAGGATATAACATATGTTCAGATAGAAAATGGAAAACATTATTGCCCTTTCACATTGCAAACCCGACTTTTGAAACTCTTTTCTCTCTCTCATATCATCCTTTTTAAATGTTCTTACTTTGCCTCTACATCCGATCTCAGGTACACCGTGAAAGTCTCAGTGTCATCATGGGGACTTCTTCGTTTAATTTTTCTCAGCTGGTCTAAATCACTACGGAAAGTGGACAAAGTGTAGTGTAAGAAAAGGATCATATTGTCCTAATTTGACTTTTATGTCTGGGTGATCTACCACTTTTATATTACTAATTTGTTGTACAAAAAAGGGGAAGTTGTCTACTTCAAATAGAACAGACAGACAACATGAAGCAAAAGATCTCTAGCAGGCTATTGAAAACTACTGTTTTTCACATCCAGAAGTCCAAATCATATCTTCATACTTCAGCCACTTACAATTATGTTCACCACAAAAACATTTAAAAAAAGTTGTGCAAAATCACTCTACAATCACAATTACTTCTCATGCAGAAATGAGCAAATATTCAGAATTTAAATTTCAACTCAAACCCATCATACCTGGATTTAAGACAAAACTCATTTATTGCTCTGACTCCAGTGATGAAGTTATTCTGTGTGTATTTTGGTCCATATTCTCTTTTTTTAAGGACTGGTTTCACTTTAAAAAAAAATAGATACACAAGTCACTCATAGAGACTACAGCAGAAACCTCAAAAATTAATTCAATTTAATATCATACTGTCATATCTCTTACTGGAAATCTGAAAAACAGTGTCAGTGATACAGAAAATTGACAGTGAAGAGAACGGTATCTTCTTCATTGTGGAAATGAGTAAGGTAGAATGATTTACCTCCAAAACTACTACTTTCTAAGCTGCAGTTCAGGGTTCTCAAACCTTACTGTCACAGTCAGCTCCTTCTCTAATTTTGATGTCAGAGATGGTGCTTGGCTACACAAATAACATTCAAATATTGCCATTTGGAAACCCTTGGTCTAACAACTAAAATAGCAACAGACTGCTCCCATTTCTATTTTTTCCAATAATCAAGTCCACTTTCTGCAGATAAGACTTTTGACCTTTGCAGAGCATAAAGAGAAATGAGACAGACTGTATACATAATTTTTCTCAACTATCATGTTCAAATTTAGTACTCAACATTGGGCATTTATTACAATTAAAAACATACATGCTTTATTTACAATGTTTTTTAAGTCTGGAAGATGTACTCTTATCAGATTTTCATGCACAAGGAAAAGAATACCATACATATTCAGAAAAAGTATAAATGGAATTTTAAATTTATGCTATTATTTTCTACTTGCACATAATTTCATCTTATTCTCAAATGTAAATCACTGTACACTAACATGCATTAAAAACACATTCATTGGAAGACTAGTTACATTTAGAAGATTATAACACAACTAAGTAACACTGTAATGTAAGTAACATTACAGAATACAACTTAAAACAAAAAGCTCAGATTCTACTGGTGAGACTTTAGAGAACATGTGAACTTCTTGCAAATCACAGGATTGATACCATTTCTATGGCTGGTCCAGAACTACTCCTTAAGTCACAGGATACTTACAGAAAGACAATGCTTTCAAAGACTTTGAGAAAATTTTCCCAGAGCTCTACATTTTCCTATTTCTGCATTTTGATGCTTAATAGCAAAATATATTTATTGCTTGACTCTCCATGATGCATTAACAGCAAAGGTATCAATATTTATCATAATAATCTGATTTCTCTCATCCACATTGAATTTGAAGAATTTTTTAAGTCCCTGAATAATCACATTCATCCCACAAAGCTCCTGAGTGAAGGTAATGAAAAAGACTTTAGATATTTCCTAAAAACAGTACACCATTTACTAAGGTTAGAACAGACTGATAATTTTTAATCAAGAACACTTCCCATCTTTTATTTAAACCAAATATACACCCAATTCATATTAACCTTACTAAAAAACAATTTATGGATTTATCAAAAACTTACTAACTTGCCTTTCAGAAATACAGGTAAATTTCACTAAAATAAATAATACCTTGTACATTGCATATACTGTACTGTAATTGTATATTGCACAGTATACCAACAATCCTACTCCTAGTTCAAATAACTGTACAAAACTGTGGTAAATGTGGAGGGAAAAAACCCCCCCTATTTCCAAAAGAAAGACAAGCTCAACAAAAGATGATTAAAAAGCACGTTTAGGATTAGTGAGCCTTTAAAAATCTTACTGTCTTTCTAATACTTAGTAATACTTGGAGCAGTAAGTTTCTCAGCCAGAGCAGCATTTTAAGACTAGAATTCCACTTTCTAGACACTAGCAAAATCCTTAACATAAACATTTCTCCTTGCACATCTTCAATTAAGAGAGGAAAAACTCTTACTGAAACATCTATCTATTTTCACAATTATTTTCACAGAAATTTCTCCTATCTACCTTGCATTTTCTCCCTGCACGCACACACTGAGACAATAAATCTAAAGAAATTGACACCCCCTGCACCACTGGGGATGAGATGGTAGAGAAAAGCAGGAAAAGATTAAGCCTGGGAAGAATTGAAAGGTTAGAGGAAGGTATTTTAAGATTTAGTTTTTATTTCTCAGTATTGTAGTCTGATTTGACTGGCAATAAAATAACTAATTTTCCCCAAATGCAGTCTGTTTTGCCCGTGACAGTACATGGTGAGTGATCTCTCCCTGTCCTTATCTCAACTCGTAAGCCTTTCATTACATTTTCTCTACCCTATCCAACTAAGGAGAGGAGTGATAGACCAGTGGCACCTGGTGTCCAGCCAGTGCCAAGCCCACCACATTACTACACACAAATGGGAATTTTACAGAACTCAGATTAGGCAGTTCATGTGGTCAAAATATATTTAGAAGCAACACTGATTAGATTAACTCAGTAATAAGAAAGAACAGAGGAAGACTTAGAACAAGGAATGGGAAAGATCAAATATTCAGCTTAGTCACATTAAGTCTGAGAGGGAGAATGGACATGCCTAAAAAAGAGGCATGCAAGGAGGACAGACTGCAACAACACATGAAAAAACAAATCAGTCTTTTCCTAAGGAACTCTGCAGCTTAAATGAAAATTACAAACAAACACAGAAGAGTGAGTAATTAGAAGAAATACTGCTGTGTTTGATTTTTTATGAATAATTTTCAAACAAACAGTACCAACCAAAGCTGGCACACAAGTGTGTTTGAAAATGCTATTCACATAACTTGCTTACACAATTGAAGAGGAGCCACAGTTTCCTTATGCTCTTTTTTTTTTTTTTTCTTTTTGACCACTAGCAAACAGCAGTAAAGTTCCAATACACTAAATATTTCTTTACCTTTTACTTGGATTGGCTGTTTAGGTGAAGACTGCTTTTGGCCTGCATTGGCTGTATCTTGTCCTGTAAAATAAAATTAAAGCTCACTGTAAATATGGGAAGTACCTACTTTTCTATTTAGTAAAGAGTTTGACTGACATAACATTAGAATATATCTTAATATTGGATTGCACCCTAACAATGAGAAAATGCATTTGCCTGATTTCCAACATCTAAAAATCTCAAAAGTCAAAGGGAAAAAAAAAGTAAATATTTAATATAACATTGATCAATAAACTTCTAGCAGCTTGCAGAAGAACACCAATTTGGAACATATTTCAGAAAGCACTCCAAATTTAAAGAAATATTTTAACAGTGCACTTGTGGTTTGGGACAAGTTTTAAAACTGTAGGTCAGTAAATATAATTAATTCTATATGGCTTTCTATATGGCTCATGGCTTCTCTGTATCAGAGTGTTTCAGAATTTCCAAGCTGGGATTCAATTTTAAGGGACGGAAGCTTTTTCATTTACAAGAAGTTAGCTCCTTAAAACACAGAATATTTAAACTAAAATTTACAACTCATAGGTAACAAGCTGGAGCTAGAATGAAAACAAAGTCTTTTAGCTGGTTTTGAAACCTGAGGATATGATTCTATTAAAAAAACCCAACAAAACATAACTTACAATAGTGAAATGAACGTTAATATTTGGAAAACCACAAATTCCAGTAATTTTAGTGAGATTTCTAGTTAGAAACCAGAATTAATACTCGGAAATTCAAACAAATATTGCATCTCTGTCTCCTACATCTCAACATAGCTTCCAGAACAAAAACCTTACGGTTCTAACATGTCAAACCAATATACCCACTCCTTTGTGCCCTACCAGTCTATAACATTGGAGGTTTGCCACACATTCATAGTCAATCACAAAATTAAAAATTACCTTATTAAAAATGATTTTTTTAATTAAGATTTTTTTAGCAGGTTAGTGCTAAGTAATGAGGTACTTCTAGCCTAATACAATACTTAAATTATTTAAAGACCAGATTCTTTTGAAGCTTAGACTACATAACTGTGATTCAATAAGGCAATCAGTTTATTCCCTAAAAGCAACTGAAAACTACAGCTAATAATTCAAGGATACTTTTTTTGAAAAATAACAATCATACATTTAGGAAGTTGATCTTACTACATAGCAAATAAGGTTGCACCATAACTAACTAGCATTCCTTAAACAGTCATCCCTTTCACTTGAAAACAAAAGAAACAAAATCCCTTTGTTGTTCCTTTCCTTTCTTTTCTTACCTGGGAAAGCACAAAAATACTAAGATTATATCCATGCACAGGGATCTGTGGACATCAAGTACCCTTTCAAAGTTTATTACTTTGGCTTAGAGTCAGAACAAAATCATAATGCATCACTGAGGGAAAAGGATACAGAATACTTCCACTCACAATCAGTTTCTCAGACAAGTAGAGCTGATACAGTAGAATTGTCAAGACTGAACAATGTTTAAGAGTCACTTTTGTACTTCAAACATCAGAATGTAATCCTCTTAGCTGGCTACAGTTACTAGCTTTTAAAGACTGTTGCAAGCCCCAGGAATTTACGAGTTACTAAAGAAGGAACAAATATCTGCTATCCTGACAAGGAAAAGGAAACTTTCTTTAGAAGACCACTCCATTGTAGACAAAAGCACAAAGAAAGAGAGCTTTCATTTTGAAAAGCGTCTGTTATCTCCTAAGCACAGTCTTCGAGGCTGTATCTGTGCAGTCCCACAGTTAACAAGCATCAAAAACAGAGGATGTTACAATGAAGCAAGGACAAGACAGTTCTGAATTTCACAAGCACCTAACAAGCACCAAATCCACGACTGAACAGCAGGGAGGGTCAGGTTATGCACACTGTATCAAATGTTGAATGTGAATGCTGCAGTTCTTATCTAGTCAGATTAGAAAGCTACAGCTGATGAAACAGCTCAACCCTCTTTACCAGTCATTTTATAGCCTGGCCTTGAGATGCCACAATGCTCAGTAGTGGCACTCATTCAATTTTTACCATTAATTCCTTTGACACAACAAACCAGAAATACTACCAAAAATATTCAAATAAATAAGCAAAGTTGGGAAAGATGAGTAACACATGCCATTTCTTATCCCTTAAATTACTTAAGCCCTTTCAACATCCACATTTTTTTCCATCACTTTAAATTTGATTACTCTAAACTTAAACACTTAAAATTTTAGAATGACAAAGAAATAAATTTTAGCATTCCTCCCTGCTTAAGCATTTGAATTTCTATATAGATGCCCACAACCAAAAATACTAAGAATTCTGCAATCGTAATATCATACAATTAAGAAAACTGCTATAAGCAAATATAATAAGCCTTTACATTTTTATAAATACTCTTTATTGTAGTTTAGTACTACCTGTTTCAACTTTATGCAGGGTTTCTCCACGGGCTGATCCATTTGTATCTTCTGATCCAAGATCTTTCTTCTGACCATTGGAGGTATAAACTCTCACTTGACTCATCAACTGCACAGGCAGGCGATTACATGGCAGAATATAAGACAGGCTCCCACTTTTCACTGAAACTTTCCATCCTAACAAGGCGAAGAAAAAAAGCTGTTTCAGGCAGCCATTTTGGAAAGAAAAAGAAGGAAAAGCGGTCCTGCTCTGGCAGCATAAGTTATGGAAAGTTAGCTTGTAAGTACTGACCCACACTCATTTTACCCATGTTTATGAACTACAAAATGACAGTACATAGCATGCTTTCAGTACCTCCCTTCAAACATCCACTTTTAAATTTGATTCTAACACTAGGGAGTTTTTCCCACACTCCAGTATGCATTTTTCCCAGAAACCTCTGGATTATCTTAAGCGTTAAAAAAAAAAAAAAACCACCAAAAACCAAAGCTATTTGACAAGACTGGCTTTGTGATACATTGTCTCATTCTAGTCATACTGCCTCAAAGTCTTTAAAAACCATATATTGATAAAAGAACAAATACAGATCACTACTAAACCGTTAGCCAGTGTTGCCATTTCATTTCACTCTGTACACACTCTACAAATCACGGCTTACCAATGAAGAAAAACTGAACTGTGTACAAATTACACAGTTGCTACAGAAATCACATAGAAAAGCGGACATCACTGTACAAAGCATTTTACAGGGAAGTGTCTTAAACCCTGCAGCATTCACAACAGAAAAATTACAAGATAAAGAAGCAAAAAAGTCCATGGAGAAACCACCCTGGGTAGGCAATTTTCCGTCTCAAAAGATTAGCCAAAAGCAGAGTTGCAGTACAGACCAACCTGTATCAGCAATCAGTTTCTTTTAGGGAGCACAATACTTCTGTAGAGAGGGTAAATAACACCTCCAACCAGAAATGCAGCAGGGAAACTGTCTGCTTTGGAAAGCACTCACTAAAAAATAAATACTTTTTTTTAAATAATTAAGAGATAGAGTCTCTTATATAAATAAATTTATAAAAACAATTAAGCAGATAAAATCATACCAAGCATGACGACTTAACCATGAATAACAAAACTCTCACCAAAAAAAAAAAAAACCATTTTACAGAACTGTCCATTCTGTAAAAGTCTCAACAGCTTTCCTTTTTAGTCTTCTGCACACCTGCATGTCTACATGCACTCACCTGAACCTCACTGAAGGAAAAAATTTCCCAAAAAAGGACAGCTCTTACTGACAGCTGTCACAATGTGACAAAAGCCCTTAATAACGCAGTTCACTGAACTTACTTATTACGAATTCATAAAACCCTACAATAAACACGTGGCACAAGATGAGCAGTGTTGTTTCCTACGCTTTCATGATACTGGAGCAAGGGAAACTTAATATACTGAAAAAGGGGAAACTTAATCAGCACATTTAGAAGGTATTTTTCCTACTCATCACCACACACACAAGAAACTGCAAAAGAAAAAGGGCATTTGCTGCAATTTAACCGTGACTACCCAGAAAGGAGAAGAACTGCTCGGAATTCAAATTCCCTGAGATCTGTGGCCTAAAGCGAGCCAGGGCTCGCCCCTCGGGCCAGCAGAAGCCCTGTAAGGCCGTGCTATATTTTATGTAATTACTGCAGACTCCGGCCCGGCCATGACACGCCTTTGTACGTCAGACGGGGCTGGCACAGCCCGGCCGAGGACACCCCGGCCCCGCACCGCGCTCACGAAACACCTGCGCGTTTTCCTTCTTTTTACAGCCGACCCTCAGAAAGCAGCCGGCGCTCCCCGGACCGCGGGTGCCCGCAGCCGGGAGCGGCGCTACCGCCTCGGGAGGGACCCCGGCTGCCACCACCGCCTGCGAGCGCCGGCCCTCGCCGCGCCCCAGGCGAACGCGGAGCTCCGTCACAGCTCCCTACGAGCCCCGGCCGGCGCGGCGCAGCGGCCCGGGCCCCGCAGGACTCACCGTGGCAGGCGCGGGGCCGCGGCGCCGCCTGGCACCGCAGGTACAGGCGGTAGAGGCCGCGGCAGCCCCGCCGCGGTGGCCGGAGGCCGGCGGTGGGCGGCACCGCGGCACCCGGATGTGCGGGGGCACCGCGGGGCCGCCGCTGACTCACCCGCCCCGCCCGCCGCGCCTGCGCCTGGCCCGGGGAGCGGCTGGGCCGCGACTGCCGCACCTCGGAATAGCCCCTGCCCTGCTGGAGGGTAATACGTACGGGTACGTGTAACAAACGTACGCGCGTTGCATTCCTTAGCACAGCAGAAACACACATCAGAGGATTTTTTAATAGGGTCACAGAAATAATTAGGTTGAAAAGACCTCCGAGATAATCGAGTTCAATCTATGACCGAGCACCACCCTCTCGACTAGACCATGTCACAGCCAGTCTTTTCTCGAACACCTCCCATTCCAATGTCTAATGACCCCTTCAGGAAGAAATTCTTCCTGATGTCCAGTCTAAGTTTTCCCCGGCCCAGCTTCAGAATGTCTTCTCATCCTGTCACTTGCTACCTGAAAGAAGAGCCCGATCCTACCTGGCTACAACCTCCTTTCAGACAGTTGTAGAGAATGGTACGGTTTCCCCTGTGCCTCCATTTCTCCAGGATAAATACCCCCAGCTCCCTCCAAAACTCCCCATAAGACTCGTGGTCCAGACCCTTCACCAGCTTCATTGCCTTTCCCTGGACATAGGCAACATTAAAGCTTGTACACTAAATCTGTTTGCACGATTTCTAGATGAAAATGTGGTCCCCTAGCCTAAGCCATCTCCTAAAATGCACTTCCCAGATCAGTGCTGATAAAATGAGATTTAAAATGATGTCTTCCTCTAGGGAGAGTACCATGTGGCTGATCCTGTGCTCCACGGTTGTAAGGGCTGCTGTGCCCAGCTGTGACACCGCCTGCCCTGCTCACCTATAGCCTGGCTCAGGACCATGCCTGTAATCAGTCCCACTGGCACTGTATTACACTCTTTTTTATAAAAGGGTTTTTTTCCACTATAGATTTGATATTGGTTTACATGACTGAAAATGTCTCAGGCTTCCTTGTCTTCATTTGCACACTGGGAGGAACATGGGAGCTCACCAGAAGATAGGTTGACAGGGAATTTGGATAATTAATGTACCTGATAATCCACAAAGCATTTGATCACTGAGCAGAGTTATTACGGTGCCTACCTTTAACATACACAATTAGACTTTAAAACAAAGTTTGTTGGCACATCTTTACCAGCCACCTAGTGAGCAGCATTGCCAAAACAAGTTTTCCTAGAAGCCCAGGGGAGGCAGATTGAGGTAGAATACTTCCACACAATAATTAACGCTCATCTTCCCCGTAGTACAATTGCAGCCATACCAAATGAATCAGAAGCATTGCAACAGATGCTGTATCATTAAGTACCAGATGAACAGCGCTGGAGTTAAATACTAAATTGACTGCAAGTTGTAAAGTAGCACAGGTGAGGTCAGTGTTGGAGTCTAACAAGCAGCTGATTATTTTCTGGCTGCTTGTTATTTTGGCAAGAGCCTAACAGTAAAAAAAGAAAAAGAAAGAGGAGGTTAAGAGTCCCTATTTTTTCCCCTACACAAAGACATTTGGAAGCATATAGAAATCCTTGAAACATTTGTCCCTGAAGAGTCGCCGCTATACTCTAGAAGAGATGTTAAGTTTAGGTTTATTGTTTCCTCTCTAAAACCAAATGGAGCCACTAACTATTTCATATTATTTTATCCATCTGAATAACTGAATTTGTTTTGTCTGGTTTTGGTACTGTAAATATGAAACAGGAAGGAAAATAATAAAACTGGAATATCATAGACAGATTAACAGATCCTGGCATGCAGCTGCAGCATCCTAAGAAAAAAATATCAACCTTATTTATGAGCATCTCAACCATTAGTTATCAATCACTAGCAATGAAGAGAGAAACATCCTAAATTGCATGGTATTTCATCCAAACTGGCTACATTCAGTTTGCTAAATGCTAAACTGATAAAAAATATTATTTCTTTTGTGCCACCTGAACCTCTGTCTAGGGGACCAATTGTGTGAAGATCTTGGTATGTTGCTCATAAGAGGGGGGAGACTTGCTATCAATCATTTCCTCAGGCCTCCTTTTGCAAAAACTCTAGAGCCCTTTTTTATACAGCATATTACCTTGCCTACAAAAAATTATAGGGTTAAGTTGGCTTACCAGGTCTTCAGGAAGAACAGGGACTATGGTTACAACCTTTTAAGGTTTACAACCTGTTTTATGGAGACACTTGAAAAGTTTACATAGAACTGGTTGCACACCAGGAAAGACAGGTGACTGGGTTGAAATACAGGTCTTTGAAAACTTTTTTTCTTATCCCTGTTTATTTAAAATAACTCAGTAACTGATTGTATTACTCAAGTCCATCATGATAAAACATTCTAGTATTACTATCTAGCAAGAAATATGTGATATGTAAGGGCTAATAAGAAATGAAGGATATGTAGTGTTCCTTGTATGAAAAATGAAGTAATATAAAGTAAATTTGAGTATCTTTCTATTCTGAAATTCATTAAATATTGCAAGTTCATAGAGTGGAGAGAGACTTGCAATGTCCCCAGATCCACTGGAAGAGCTGAAGGTATTGACTTTAAATATAGTTTAAATTACTCTTCAGAATTCAGATATCCTGCCTTGTGGGTCTCTCATATACCATAGAAAGGAAAAGAAGGCAAAAGGGAAAGACTTTTGATTTTTGTAACCTTTTATGATATACAGTTAACACAAAGCAGCTACCAATAGTACAAAAAAAACTGTGAATACATCATGTCCAGTGTTCCCAAACAGCCTTTAAGTTTTTCAGGCAAACCATTTAAATTCACAGAAAATGAGAAAATATTTTATGACAGGCAGGTGCATGAGGGGAATGCCTCTTCTGAAGCACAGAATGGTGCATCTTCAGAAGCTTGCATAACAGCACTCTGAGTCATGCAGCTCTGTAAAGCTGTTTCATGGTCATTGGGTCAAAGATCTACAAAAACAAAAAGTAAATATTTTCATTTCCAGCACATGGAGAAGTGTTTTCAGTTATTCACATGCAGTTCATTCACCTTAACATCAGCAGTCATCTGCAGCTTCTTAAACTGGGGGCAACAGTCCTCAACAAGCTGATTCAAACCCAGCAGCAGCTAGTAAGTGCCAAAGGACAGTAAATCGTGAAGAGGTATTATTCTTCTGAGAAATTTAAACTGAAAATTACTTTCCTGTAGCCAAGAGACTCAGGAAGAGCATATTACATTACTAAAATTTTTAGCTTCATAGTTGCAAACCAGCCACTAGAGGTCAGTGGTTTGGAATAAAATTAGCACATAGAGGAAGAATTCAATTTCATTTCAAGTAGATAAATCATACAATCAAATAAAATTTCCAGCCTCTGAGCAAGGAAAAATAACTCTTAAGCCTTGCAGCACTTACCTTCATCCAAAAGCAAGAAAGCTAGCTTAAAATTCTTAAAAACAATACTAGGTACATAACACAAAATACTGAAACAACTACTTATTCTCTACAGTAATATACAGACATGCATAAGAACACAGGACTGAAGGAAGCTTCTTTAATCAGTTCCAGTGTCTTGCTCCTTGTCCTATAATTTCTTGCATGAACGAAGCAAGGACCAGCTTAATAGCAGCTTGATTCTTTGGCTCATAAGGAAAAAGGAAAAAGAATTACAAGAATGTGAAATAAGCTCAATTAGTACTTTTGAAGTGCATAAAGGCAGTATATTAGAAACACCTTGCAGTGCAACAATCTTCTTAAACATCTATTTCCTTTGCAAATGTGTAGCACTCTGCAAAGAGAGAAGGACACCAGAGGACAGGAAGAGGCTGTTTCATCATGAAGTGCAAAAGTGTATTACCATTTCCAAAAAGGGGAAAAAACCTCCAAAGTACTACATTTTATTTAGTCATTTATCTACTGCTGTAAATATATATACATCATCCAGTCACAGTACATACATATTAATGCAACTGAACATCTTACCTCTGCCCCAGAGTGATGTTAAAAAATTTGAGATAATTAGAAATGTGAATACAGCCATTGGATGCACAAACACATTCTGAACTTGATGCTTGTTGCTGTACCTGTAGTTTTCTAAGGCTTCAATATTTCTCTGTATTACACAGTTACACAAATGAAAATGCCACTAGACATATGAAAATTCAGAAAGTTAACCTCAGATTTCCATCTACCATTACAAAAAACTTTTGATCCATGGCTTTGATTTAAACTTTATTACTGAAAGGATTCACAATTATTTTTGTTCTGCTTTAGTCAGAACCTAACTGAAGTTATTACAGCAGAAAGTAAGTTGAAAGGGATCGTAGTGTGGAGACATCTGTTCGGTCAGAATTTCTAGATTAAAAAAAATAAATCCAAAAATATTAAAATACTAAGTTACATCATGTTATAACTTAATACTAAGTTATATTGTGTTCTATGCAAGCATACATCAGGACAAAACCTCATGAGTTGCACATACAAGGTCTTCCCCCAGATTGCAAAGAAAAAAATATAGCAAAGCAACATGGAAAAGCCAAAAAAAAAAAAAAGGCCAAGAAGCCCAGATTATTTCTTTCTTTACTTTTTCACTGCAGAACTTCCAAACATAGTAAAAGAAAACATAGTTCACTGCAGCTGTTTTCCATTTTAAGTAAATAAAGATTAGACTGTCAGCTCCTGTACAGTATGGCTATTTCAACTGTTTTTTAATGGAGAATAAATTATACATAATTTACTTGAAAATTTAGCTTGAAAATTTAAGTACTATTCAGAGGATACTGATGGCATGAAACCATGACTGGTGAAATGGGGTTTGTGAAAGCAACAGAGCATCCAGCAGGACTTCCAGACATCTTTATATCAGAGAACTGGTGTGAGTCTTGGAGTGTCCTGCGTAGGGTCAGGAGTTGGACTTCCTGATCCTGACCGGTCCCTTCCAATTCAGTATATTCTATGATTCTGTGATTTTCTGTGTTCTCATTATTTTTCTCCCCATTCTTCTATCTTCATGAAAACTATAGTAGATACTGCTTTAAATCCTACAGATAATCTAGTCCTGCATCTTTTACAATTTCTGATTTTCAGTTTCATTTTCCCATGAAATATCTGAACTGATGCATCATCTTCATCTAAATTACTTTTAACACTGCTTTTAACACCGGCAAAGTAACACGAGTTACTCATAGGGACACATATAGCAAATGAAAATATCATGATCTGCACTTGCTCCAAGAAAGCAGTTTCCTCACGCCAAAACACAGGTATACAACTTTCTCTGCTAACACCTGCACTGAAAACATAGCAGTAGACTGGGCACATAGATAGATTTTTTCCCACAGGACTTGGTATTATCTATGCCAGGTATAAAGCAGAATAGTTACAATAAATTAAAGGCAGGGATCAGCTCTTTTTTGTTTTGATATATACCCTAATCTTCCTGTTTCTCTAGAAAAAGTAAATGAGGTGTTGCAGTAGCTCACTGCATTCTGCACTATTCCAAACACATACACAAAAAAACAACACCCAACATGCACCTGGAACACTTAACACAAAGCTGTTGGTCAGTAACTCAAACTCACTCAGAGATCTGAACTTAAATAAGTGCTGTTTTGCAACACAAACTGGTAATATTTAAAATCCAGAAGAAATACAGAATTTGATTTCAAGAATATCAACAAAACAATAGGTATCAATACAGAAAACTATTTAATTTGTTTCAAAATAAATATTTGACATACAAAGCACACACAGTGAAAAAGGGTCACAATAAATTACAAATGGAACTACTTGCTCATTCACTGAGAGAAGCCCTTGGTATTTCCAATTTCATACCATCAAATTTATCATTCTTGCTGATTTAAGCACAGCACTGAACAAATATGGATCCCAGTGCTTTCTTTCACAGGTACTGGTATGGATAATTTACTGCAGTGATCCAATTTGAAAATCAGTAGGGACCGGTAAATCGCTGCATAAAAGAAAGAGCGAATGAGGTGCTTTTTCCTTAGTGTCAGCAGCCTGCGATTATTATGTTTATTAGATTTTCTTGAAAGGGCTTCACATTTTCTCAAATATGCAGGAGAACTATATTTCCCCTCTGAGCCCTTACATTAGCATTTTGTGCCTCAGTCCTTGAATACAAGTAAAAGATGAATTTTTCAATTAATTTTAAAAGTTTATACCATCTGGATGGCATAGAACTAAGCAATGAAACTCCCTTACCTGCACAACATCTGCCATTATCACAGAGCTAGCTTCTGCAGAGAAATTAAAAAGTAATGCTGAGATTTTGTGAAAAATATTTTTGAATCCACATTCAAGATTAAATTCTGTTACACTATCCATTCTGATATCTTTCCGTCTTTGGAATAAAGAATTGCTTAAGGTTGTGTCCTTTAAAGGTGATTTAAAACAGCAAGGCCTGACTGTTCCTGTGACTTTAAAAAAATTATAGCACTACAGAAGTTATGATACAAAGATACACTAACCAATTTCAGTATATATATAGTTTAATCACAAATAGGTGTACCACAGCAATTAAAAATTATAGACAATTAAAACAGATTAGTGTACCCTACTACCATCTAGCATGTTAAGGGCTTGGGATCTTACTCTGTTGCATTATTTTTTGTCAGAGATGGTGATACAAGGGGCATACCTAGCATTGCACGTGAAAATCAGTTTTGACTTTAAAAGAATATGTTGTTTTAGCGCACTATCTTCTTTACCCTTAATCTGAGCACTGTAAAGTACAGCACTTTTTATCTGAGCAATGTAAGGTACAGTACTTTTTAACGTATTTAAGACCGCAGTTACAATAATTTTAGGAGCAGGACTAATAAGTTATATGTCGAGCAGAAACAAATGAGTTTCATCTGGGCACTTGTCCAACTTTTTTCTATTTCCTGCTCTGCCAGAACTCTTACATCAGGTAAGTGCTCTTTCCTTCCATGTCTCCATTCCTGTCTTTAAAATGGGTAAGAACTTCCTTAATAAACATGGCATCTGTACAGCAAATGTTGCAATACAGGTACCTAATGATAAAAGGGTCTAACACAGACTGTACAAAATAACTGGCTATGTTATTTGTTTGGACAATACAATCACATACATAGTTAGCAGCTCCAAAACTGTTGGAAGAAATAGTGGCTCATAATTATAATTCATTTTTATTTAAATCCTTACAACATGAACAGATATTGCTCCACTTAAACACCCATCAAAGAAAGGAGGAAAAACATAAAACTGACAGCACAGAAATGACAATATATGTATAAAATCAAATAAAATGCAATAAAGGAGAGGATGGATGTATTGGTGAGTTACTTTGCGTGTAAGAAATCCTAACTGGCATTAGCTATTCCAACAGACCCAATGGCTCCTGATACTTTATCTACAGATGAAAACAGACAAATGTTAAGCTGGACCATCACTACTACAGAAAGCTTGTACAGAGCAAGGGTTTGGTCTACCCACAGAATCTGTGCAACAGCACTTAACTTACAAAAGCTAAGACAACAAAAAGCAATGAGCGGTATGATTTATGCCAGTGGAAGCAGTTATCACATTAAGTAGGAAACCTTTCAGTAATACAAAATCTCTTCTGCTTCATTTTGGGATTGGCAGGCACTTTATGGTCAGTTGCAAAATTTCTCTACAATCACAGACTTCTGTCACAGCCTCTGCATCACAGCTAGCTGTTGACAGCATAGCAGCATGAACATACAGCTCTATTCACCAAAAAACCCCCTCAAGCTATCAGGATACTACCAGCATTTTACATTTAGTTTAATCATTAGAATAGAAACAGTCAAAAAATGTGGTGAGGAGGCAGGCTCAAGGATAGAATGTTTTTGCCAGCATTGAGGAAAGTTGATGTTATCACTCAGGCAGCTGAAAGGCTACAGTAAAAATCGAAGTTGATGCAGAGCACAGGTCAATTGCTCTATATATTTGGCTTGAACGTTATTCTTACAACATTGTTCCATGTTTTCTTGACACATCAGAGAAATAAGTTTTACCAGGCCACAAGCTGCTCTTTTGTCAAGCAAAGCCAAGAATATGCTACTAGCAAAACCAAATCAAATCCCTTTTATGGAATTTACTTCTCTTCGTCCATTTTCAAGACTTAGTAGAAAGAGATAAATGCAGTTTCACATCTAAGTTCTGTTTCACAGCACTGTCTTCCAGCTCTTTACTCACAGCATTGTCATTCACTTACTCCTTTTTAAGCCTTCTCCTGCATGCATTGAGTTGGATCTCTACTTAGCATCCTTCAGTTACAGCTGCATTACACTGGATCCAGTTTAGACTCCTCTCTAATTTAGTACCATCATATAATTAGGGAACAGTAGAATGCACCCATAACAGCAGTCAGACCACAAAAATTTGCTCAGAAGTAACATGTTATTTTGCTTACTGTAATTACAGATTTATTTACCTTCCACTCCCAGTATGGGGGATCAACTTAGATGACCAAATTCATTTTTACATCACAGTGGTGCCAACAGCTGAAGAGAATCTGATGTCACCATTCAAAAAACACATCATGCAACATGGCAGAGGGTCTAGAATCGTGCTGAGGAACTGAAACAGTAGTAAGTAGGTCTGGATTTTTCTCTGATTAGATACCATTGTTGCAGTGCTTATACTTGAGCTAGATTTTGAAGAAAAGGTGATCAATTTTTGCACTTTAGAAGGCAAAAAATAATTTAGAAATGCACAAGACATTATATTCCAATTCAGAAGCAGCAGTGGGAATATAAGAACATGCACACGTACACACAGGACAGCATTCTGCTCAACTTCCAGGTTCAAGCATCAGTAAGTTGTGTTAAAGAGAGAAAATGAGCCTGAAGAGCCTAGCGAGTTACATTTAACACTCCTTTTATTGCAGTAGAAATTTTAGTTTTTATCAAATCCTCAAATTACAGGATATACACATAATCAATCTCATTGCAAGTCTTTAGCAGCTGTAGAGCATTAACTGCATGCAGTTGCTTCTGCAGTGTGTGAGTATTCTATAAATAGCTAATCACGTTCAGAGAGCAAGACAAGTAGTCAAAGAATATCATATTCAATTACCAACTGCTTCATCAGTACCAAGAGGTTGAGCAAAAAAAAAATGAAATAACTTTATAAATACATGGCTCTGATCTAAAAACTAATACAACTGGAAAGTCGTAATGATATCCATATCACAAACAAGATAACTCAATAGTTACAGGAAAATACTTTGCTTCAAGACTGTCTTTGAAACTGTTTTCTCATAAGGTTTCTCTGATCATGGAAGAATAGTTGAGTACTACAGAATTTTACAAAAGGCCAATGAAAGCCCTTTAACTTTATGCAATTAGAATACTAACACTAACTACTAAAATTGAACTAAAATTCAGCAAATATTTTGCCTTGAATTTCTGGAAAGAAGTTGTGTTCAGACAGTATTATTTTTCCATGACCGACCCTTCAGCTGCTGGGTGAATGCATAACCAGTGTAATTAATTTATGCACTTAATTTAATATTCACTTTTGTAGTCATGACACTGGCTTCAGATCAGTCATCAGATGGATTTATGCCAAGAAATCCTACACCCATATGTTTCAGAAGCTGCCTAAACAGGTGCAATTCTTTATGCAAATTTCTCATCACAATGAGGGTCGCAGAAACTCAAATAGCAATTTATACAGAGCTACCTACAGATTAATTTTCTAAAAAGCTAACATGCTTGAATTACTGCAGTCTCACATTTGTGTGGACACGAGAACAAATCTGCAATGACTCTGCAAAAGTTACTTCATTAACATTGATTAGTTCATTTGAGACATTGTTAAAAGTTTAAGTATTGCCTCTTAGTCTTAAATCTACAGGTCAGCAGTTTGGCTTGGTAAAACAACTTGTTATGACAAGAAAACTGCACAGTTTTGTGTGATCAGTCTTGGTATTTCTTCCAACAGCATAATGTAAGATTATGTCACAAGGTAGAAACATGGGAGAGTTCTTTTAAAGTATTATTAATAAAAATAGCCTCTCCTTCAGAAAGGAGTGTTATCTCTGTCAGCTTGATAGATTTTAATCCCTTGTGTTAACTTCAAAGTGAGCCGTATTTCCACACTGAGTATAGCAAATTGGACAAAATAGTTCTACAAATACATTTAGTAAGCAGAAGAATACTGTCCAAAGTGTACTGCATAGGTATATGTATCAACTGCTATCCACTGGAGACATCCTAAAGTAGCTAGAATTCCAACTAACATAAACCTAGAGAGCACAGATCTCTTATAATAACTTTCAATCAATCTCAAACAATCATTGATTTAGAAAAACAAAACAAAACAACAAACTTGTATGATAGGGCATGTTTTAGATAGGATGCAGCTACTTTTTTCATCAATTAACAATACAGCACAGTTAATTTAAGTTTCTATTATTTGTTTTTGATATGCTAAATTTCACATTATCTCCAAGAAAAGCATTTATGTATTTTTATACAGCCTGGAGTGAAATCAGTGTAAAACCAGGAATTTCCAATCATCAGCAGAAGTGCCAGCTGCTCATAATGTTCACAAAACACGAGTGCCTGAATTTGGCTATGCAACAGTTGGTGCCAATCTGCTTATAAAGGAAATGCCACTGAGGCATAGTCTTCTTACAAAAACAGGGCACGAGGGCTTCGTTATTAAGTGTTCAACAACAATCCTGAGCTCAGTGAAGAGAGTCCTGAAAAATCAGATTTAAAGACAGTTTTAAAATCCTACAGCTTTTATCAGAAGTATTATCCACATATATCTTTTTCATTAACTTCTTTTCTCAATATCACACTCACATACACATTTTAAGTTAAATTCTTTAGACCAACTCAGTACTGCTTCCAAGAGCTTCAGAATTCTTGACTTTTAAACATTAACATTTTAACTAACTCTATACTCAGCTGGAAGTTACTGAGCTAGAGACAGCAGAAAAACTCCACCTTCAAGCAAAAAAATACAAAAGGAAAAAAATACTATAAAGGCTACACAAGCACTATAAAAAATAAAAAAAGGAATAATGCTTTATCACAAATAGTGTAAGGAGCTGGGAGGCTATTGTGTTTGTGCTACTTCTTGGCAATATGCAAGAACCCTGCACTGCAGAAGCAACTATTAGAAGACAGACATGAGAAATAAAATCATTGTCAAAAATTTTCCTTAAAACTACAAAAATGCCAGCAGAACATTTTGGATAAACTAGTTCTACTGAATGTCAATTTTAGTATGTACAGCTTAAATTATTTTTAGATACCAAAATAGTAAAGCAGTTTCATAGATGTTGTTGGTGTTGTTGAAAACAAATTTATGTAGCAGGATGGAACAAGTGATCTTACAAAAATAAGGAATAGAAGGCAATTAAGCTTATGATTCTCACACCTGTCTTTGCATATCATGGCAGCCAAAGCCACTTTTTTGGCACTCTAGCAAGCCACTTTCTGATCAAGTAGACTGGAAAGTCTGTTCATAAAATCTTATGCTATGCAATGCTCATAAGAAAACTTCTAAAAAGCACTCACCTAAGACAACACTCACAGGAATATTTATGATTTCAGAATCTAAAGCAATAATATTGGCTTGACCAACTTTCAAAATCAGTAAGGTTCTATTTCAAATACAATTAGCTTTACTTATGAATTTAACTAAAAAAGGTAATGAACATGTTTAACGTCATCCACATCCTTTTTCTCTCAATATTACACAAGTTTTTAAGTGGCTATTCATATTTGGGCTTAGCCTCAGATATACCTAGAATCTAAAAATAAAGGTATCTCTCTCATAAGAAAGACTTCCTATTCACAAAGTGTAGTTTAATTACACAAGCATGTTCTGAAAGCTCCCATTCAAGAATGGTGGTACTTTTCTGATCACTTACATTCAGTAAATCTAACCTTTAACCAGCCAGGCTTTTATTTAGCATCCAGGTGTATTTCACATTCTACAGTTGCCATTAGCAGATGTAGTATTAGGAGTTCTGCATTCATTTTAGAATGAGAAGTTTCTGAATGCCTAAGCACTATGCAGTTAAACACGAACTCCCAAAATCAATTTAGCACTTACCGACAGTACGGATTTCGCCGAGAAGAGTAGCGTAATGTAAGAAACCTATAGTAAATGAATGGCTGCAGCAGACTCCCTTGTCCACTGAAAGAGAATAGTTCAGTAGAGCTTACTAGTGACAAACAAAAAACCAAAACAGAACACCAAAACCAGGAATTTTTAAGAAAAATTTTTTTAAGAAAAGCAAGCGAACTACTTAGGCTCAAAACAAGATCTGGGTCACATTGGATCAGAAAATAGAGATCTGACAAGCAAAAGTACATAACTATACACTTAGAAATGCAGAAACATTATAGAATAAAACTGCTCAATGAAGCAGTTAAAGAAGTGCTGTTCTTGTATTGATTTTATATTTATGAAGCGTTTTCATATGCCTCATTTCTGGTGCTGTGCAAAGAATTACAGGAATGATGGTGGACACGTGTTCCATAGCAAGAAAACACTTGCTGGTAAGCCCAGAAACTGGCTGACATAAGCAGTCCAGTTACAGTGACCCTGTTCAGTCTAATTGCAGCACTTTGAATATCTGGACCATATTTCTAGCATTTTTTGTATAACTTCTCAGAACACACTGTAGACAATTACAGATGTATAATGAGACTTTAATGCCAAGCTAATACCCAGTTACAGTGAAATTAGGCTTTGGTATTTCACAAAACTGCTGTTTGACATGGCTGTGCTGTGAAATAGTGGAAACATAACACATAGATCATACACAGTGAAGCACAGAAATGCCCTAATTTTAGTGACTGAAGCCACTTTAAATAGCATATTATTGAAAAATTGTGTTTGAACTTAAACATCATGATAAGTAAGTTCCAGTAAGAACTCCTTCAAGTATTAGCAGCATCTTTAGGCAGAAGAAAAATATAAACTGAAAGTGAGCTACATGAGGGAAGAAAGAGGAAATCTTGAAACCTGTACAGTATTGACAAACAAGTTATACGCTACAACATTTAAAGAACAAAATCTCACAATAGCTGCATTTAGCAATTCAATTATTTTAAAATTTAGCATATGACCTTTTACAAACACTTCAGTATCTACCAGATGACATATCAAGCAGCAATATTTCACATACTACATTCTCCACACAGAGGCAAAAGGAAATAAAAAAGCTGTACTAAGTTCAAAGCACTTGAAAGTTTCAAATACTGGATAGAGTGTATCTGTCAGCTGGTAAGTGGTCTCAGATGGAATGCAATCCTTGAGGGCTGAAGCATTGAAATGTTCAGCTGATATATCAAAATATAAGACAAATTATGCAACCTATCCAAGAAAGTAAAGCCTCCCTTCTACTGCTTATGAGACCACTCAAGACAAATGTTCCCACTTTGCCATAACTTGTATAGAACAAAGGCTGCAATCCCCCTCCAAATATTAAAAGGCAATGACCCAAACTTCTGTGACTGGCAGGTCATTATGCCTGCACAACTTCAGTAGGATTCCAACATGTTCGAGATCCCTAAAATGACTTCAACAGGCAACACAGCAAGCAAAATCAAATGGAATAAAAAAAACCCAGAAGGGTCACTGCTCAGAAGGAGCACAGGAGAGAATGCAACCTACTCCTGCCTGCACACTTTTTGCATAATGAAATTTTTCCATTTAAATTTCAGGAATCTAATTGTCAAAAATAATAGTTCACTTTCAGTGAAGCTGAAGATCTTAATATTCTACTAAACAAACCAAAATTAAACTTACTGAACAACGTGCTGATAGAAATGTAGGCGAATTCAAGTGTCAAGCCTGAAAAACTCCCATGTGACTCATCACCCACACTATCAAAGGGAAGGGTTTTTGGTGCTCAGTTACATCATAGTGAATGCCTTTTGATGTCAGGATGCACCAACTTAAGAAGCCTAAGAATCATTTCAATTTTATTTGAAGTTCAAGCCTGTCAGCCAGAGCCACACAAATGGAGTACTATGAGCCACAGAGAACTCATTTGCAAAAAGCAGTCTTGTGTAGCAAGTTTCTAATTATTTAAATATTTATCATTATTCTTACCTGAAGAGCATAAAAACTGTAGCTGGCATCAGGAAAATTTCATTGCAAGCAATGAATTTTAGAATATTCTGTTGATTAGCATTCAGTTTCTCTAAGAGATTTCTCAAAAAAGGCAAACTATTTGAACTTCGTGCCTTAAAAGAAGAAAAAATTATTTACAGAAAACATAAATGTTACATCCATCTCCATTAGTACAGAGAAAACAAAATGCAAACAATTGCTATTTATCACCCATTTCAACATTTTAAGACTTTATCAGTTTTGAGATTAATATCCTAAGGAAAACTGCAGGCTTGGAATTCCATAATTTACAGAGTTCAACTAAAAGCATCAGATTTTGCAATTCCCTCACCCACCAATTTTAGGTTCAACTGCACAGAGACAGCCACGAGCCTTGTTCAGTCTACTAGGAGGAAGTGCCCATGGTAGCAAGAGCCCAGTTAGGAACACCAAAGCCTGGAGTTATGTTAAGATGCACAAGGCAGTGCATTGAGCAGCAAGTCCAACTGGCAAGTATTTTGCTTGCTAGTCTCACCCTGTAGTTTGTTACTTTATTACTGAAATAGAACTGTAAAATTCAGAGGCTGTGGTTTAGCTTGAAAAAGACAAGTCTTAAGTTTCAACTTAATTGTTTCAAAGATTCTGTTTCCTTCAAAGAAAAGCATTTGAAGAAAAATAATTAGTGAGAAAAATAATTAGCTGAGATTCTGTATTACAGTTTCACTCTAATTCCTCTAATGCAGCCAAAGAAAATCAAACCAGAGCTGCAACTCAAACTTGTTTATAAACCCCAAGAATACTAACTGTATTCATCGTAACATATACATATCATACTTACATCAAGAACCTTCTTTGTGTATGTGGCAGCATGAAGCAAAGAGAACAGCAGAACTGGAAAAATACTCACTGAAGCAAGCCATAAGGAAAATTACAGGGTGTGCATGTGCTTTATTTCTCCATGATGTTATACTACACCAGTGATGGCTCGATGGATCTTTGCAAAAGTTTGGCTGGAATGACCTATACTGGATGAAGATATGCATAAGTCTAAGACCTATATTTACAGCTCTTCCTTCTGCTTCTTACACCTCTTTGCTATGCACTTTTATTAGCTTCAAATTAAAGTCTGTCTTGTGTCTGCAAGTATGCAAAAGTATAACACACACCATTAGACACCAGTATGCTTCTACTGAAATGCATTCTCTCTGCACAGAAGGCACACCTGAGCTTACTACTCAAAACCTCTGAAATACGCGTAGTCGTAGTTTTTGTTAGAAGATGCTACAAAATTAATTTCTTTACCAAAGAACATGCAGTTGCCAGCCATTCTGATTTTACAGAGCAAGAATGTAGACATTTCTCTGCCAGAAGGATTTAAAGAGTAGGACATTAAGTGCACATCGTGTGGCATAAGGACATGTCAGCTCTGACATGTCACCTTTGACAATCCACAGGAGCAAATTTTGCAGACTTTATCAGTTTAATAACTTATGTGAGACAGTTACTACTGAATAATTGTCTCTCTACAGGATGAATGTCTACTACAGTGAGAAGACATGTATAAACCCTGCACTGGCAATAAATGAAAATTACCATCTCCTCCAAATATCACTGGAGGCTGGTCATAAAATCCACTAAACTTAAGCCTCAAAAAAAGAAAGTCTAAGTAGCCAGAAAATGCAGTGCTCTAATTATAGAGCTGATTAAACTGAATATGTATCAATCAACATAAGCCTCTCATATTTTACATAGAGTATGTTCTATGAATAGCAAACATATCAAACTAGTTCAACTAGCTTTTCAAATCATGGCAAAGGTGATGAAAAGAATCATGTTTTTAATATATTTAAAAACATTAGCAGGATGACACAAGAAAAGGATACTTGTAACAGGGTAGGAATTCACAAAGATAAGGGAGTACAACAGGTAATGGCAGCTGTCCTCCAGCAAAGCCTGAGCCAGAAATGCCCTGCTAAGCTGGAAGTGCGGTAGCCTTTGGTGTAGTCGGAGGGCACTGGTAAGAGCATTTGCCAGCAAGGCACGCTGGTAAAAGCTTGCTGCTTCGTGCAACCTGCAAATCATCAGAGGAGATGTTACCATGTGAACCAAGCTCAGAAGGCTTCTACCTTTGAGAATTGCATCACAACTGAACAATACCTGAAGTATTTATTTATATTATTGTACATAAACACTATTTCCAGAAAATAACTCAAAAGCTGTTTAACACTGACTTTACTGCAGGTGCCTAAGACAACTCAGTGTAATACTCCATTTACAAACAAAAACATGCATTTACCACTACTTTACATTTTTTCAATACATTTTCCAAACACATCTACAAGTGTTTTAAATCAATTTAAAATCTGTAAGCTATTATGACAAAAAGCATCTAAGTAACCTGAATAAAAGCAATTTACCTTACATGAAAAAAACAATTCTGTGCAAAGAGAACCTAGATTGTTTGTAAATATTTATATTTATATTTCAGCATATAACATTTATATTTATGTTACAGTACATACCCTAGAAGAGGCAGGACAAATAAAGCTGAGCAGTAAACTGTGAACAAGCGGGAAATCCACATTGCTGTATCCAACTTGTTAGCCATCAGAAATTGCTACAGTGGAAAAGAAAAAATAAAAGAAGAAAAAAAACCCAGCCCCACCAGAAGTTGGTATCTTAATACTTGCATACAATGAACATTCTTCCCAACTCTATTAAATTTCAAGTCTTTCCCCAACCTCAAATGTAAGCAAATTATAGCTTGAAGCAGAAAACCTTTTTTTTTGTTCTGTGATACTTGGCTCATATGATGTTACTAGCCAGATCAAAAATAGCTCAGCTTCCTCAGAACCAAGAGGCTCCTTTTTACATTGCAATCAAATACAGCAGTAAGAACTTCTAGAAAAATAGTTTTTCTATCCAAATACGCCTCACTAAACAGCTTCACAAATGTTATAATGTAGGGTCTCTAGACCTGACTTTTGCTTCAAGGCTTCTTTTAGAATTCAATGCACAAACCTAGGGCTAAATCTCCACAATTCTTCCAACTGAAGGAGGAAAAATATAGGGTCAGGTAAAGTTAGCATAACCACATTACAAGAAAAGCGGCATCATTTTGGCTTACATGTTCCTGGCCTTCAAAAAGCAGAAAACTTTTCACAGTAATCCTGCACCTCTTCCCTAACCACTGCCCTCCTCAGTCCTGATATAGCCAAAGTGCCCTAAAGGCTCTAATGAAACACAGAATGTTTTTGGCTATATGTGCATCAAAGTCAAAACAACAGCTTCCTTCCTTCTGATAGAGTTTCAAATTTTTTCCAAATTTGGACCAGCTTTTGAAGAGTCATCTTTTCCTCTATATTTCTAGTGCATGTCTATGGAAATGACCAGAAACCTACAAGCGTCTTCATAGTATGATTTCGTATCTTACTTGCACAATATAACTACAGAAATGGCATGAAGCCGCGTCAAGGCTAGGTTAGATTATCAGGAAAAGGTTTTCCACCCAGAGGGTGGTTGAGCACTGGAACTGGCTCCTCAGGGAAGTGGTCACAGCACCAAGCCTGACAGAGTACGAGCCTTTGGACAATGCTCTCAGGCACACAGTGTGACTTCTGGGGTGTCCTGTGCAGGGCCACGAGTTGGACTCGATGATTCTTGTGGATCCCTTTAAACTCAACATATTCTATGATTCTGTGAAATACAGATGCTAGCACACTGAATTACTTCCAATTCAGCCATTTTCAAGAGCGGCGGCACACCAACAGCACGCTTTCAATGGGAAAGCGAAAGCTGCTCGCCCCTGCCGCACCCGGGCGAGCAGCGCTCGCTGCCATCCCCGCAGGACCCCCCGCCCGCCGCCGGAGCAGCACCGCGGCCGGCCCGGGCCCCCAGGCCCCGGAGCTCCTTACCACGGCCCCGCCGCCGGCCCCGCCTGGCATGGGCCCGTTCTGCGTGGAGTCCGCCATGGCCGCACCTGCGGGGAGAGAAGCACCTCAGTCTGTGGGACACGGGCGACCGCAGCCGCCGCCCCCCGAGCTCCCGCTCCCGGCCCGGCCGCGACCCACCGCAAGCGCCACTCCAGGCACGGAACACGCTCCGGCAGATCCCCACTCCCGGATGCGGCAGGACGCCACTTCCCGCGGGGCTGCCGGGCAATGTAGGCGGTGACTGGGATGCTCCCGACGGCGCCTGGCGGCGTCACGGGCCGGCGCTGGGAGGCAGCGCGGGGATGGCCTGGCGGGATCGCGGCGGGATCGCGGCTGCGGTCGCGGGGCGAGCCCGCTGGGCAGGACTCTGGTCCCTTCTCCGCTGTCCGTAAAGCAGCCCGGACATCAGGTGCTCGGCTCCTTCTTTACAGTCTGTTCAGGGGCGCTTGTGCGTGGTGACAGCAACAGCAACAGTATTAATGCTCGCGTCGGCCCCAGTCTGGGGAGTGTTTGCTCACTGAGACCGACTGGACTTCAAGGGCTCTGGGTTTCCACAGCAGCCTGGCGATGCTCAGTGCTGAGCATCAGCAATACGGATGGGAATTGTAGCGTCACAGGACCCGTGTAGGGCGATCCGCAGGTCCCGGTGCTGCAGTGGCCCCGTGGTGTCAGACAAGCGGTGCAAGGTTGTGCCCCTGTGTTTTAATGTCATTGGTTCCCTATAATGTAAAAAGACGGGGGGAAAAAACCCAAACACGCACTGCTTCAAAGCCACATGGGCCTAAAGACTGTCAGCGGTATTATGTTAAAAAGCGGGGTTTTTGAAACAAGTTTCTGAAATCTTTGGTGAATAATCATCAAATCATAAAGCTAGGGAGCTTTACTCAGCTACAGGTACTCAGCAACCTCTGACAGAAGGATAGCACAAAGCAGAAGCAGCCTTCTGTTCACTCTCCAACATGTAGCTTATGTAATTTGCAAGGTCTTGGAAAGGTTTAATCCTCCTTTCATTAATCTTCCCCTTGCCCTTAATATTGACGGATTTTTTAATTATTTGTGCCGGATAGCTGTGTGAACATATATCTGTTCTCTGTTGGAAGTCAGTAACTCGTCTGAAATGTCATCAAAGCAAAAGAAAAGAAAATGCAGGCCTGGCGACCGACACCTTTGACTTTTGGCTGCTGTGGCTTCATGTAGTTGTGCTTCTGGCTTTCTCTCAAGGATGTGCAGCAGGTTCCCCCTCCTGGCAGCACGGGTTTCAGGACAGCGAGCGTCTGCGCCAGGTTCTAATCGTTCCCAGAGGCTTTCAATTCAATTACTCTTTAACAGCAAGAAAGACACATTCCTGTCACCAAGGATGCTGGGAATCAACATCTGCAATCAGCCTCATTTCTGACTTATGGTGATTAAACCTGAAAATTGATTGGAAGACACTCAGGAAGAATGTGTAATGAAGTAGGTTGACGAGAAAGGAGCAAAAGAGTCAGCTGATAGAGATTCTAATACTATAACAATTACAAATAATCTAAGCAATCTCAGGCTAGTTAACACTTTTAAACTGAAGATGCAGAACCTGATTTCTTGCTTCTTTCCCAACCATTAATCTCTCATTTAGGTGACTGAGAAGTAGACACAAGAACTACCTCCTACTTTGAGATGATTTTTCTGCAGGTGGAGGAGACTCTACTAAACAGCAGTAGAGAGCTGGGACTCTCAGTGTGTCTGCTGGGCATTCTCGGGTGTGTAATAAAAAGACTGACAAACATTTATGCTAAACCAAAATTAAGACTACAAATATAGCCCAGTAAATCCAAGTTGAACCATTACCAGATTACTACATTTCAAAATGAAATATTGATATATCCAGGAGATTTGTTTAGATGCAACTGAAACATGAAAACCACTGAATGTTTAACTGAAATGTCACAAGGGGAAAAAAGCCTGGCCAGTGTTCAAGATTATTGGTATTTCTTAAATGAACCTAGGGTGACAACTCCATGTCTTTAGCAAAAGTGCTTTTTCATTTCTTAGCACTTGTAATTTAGGAAGTACTCAATGCACTTTTATGCAAAGCAATAATTTTTAGATTCTGGTTTGGTCTCTTGGTCATAACAGCAAAAGTTGTCTTTCATAATTTTGCTTTAATTTCATTTAAATAGAATGTTAAGCCATTATTTATTTCTGAAAGTTCATAGATTAAAAAATGTCATACTGTAATACAAAACGTTCCTCTTCCCCCTTTGCAACCAGTCCCCTTTTCCTTCATACCAGTCCTTGTTCTTCTGACTTTCCCCTTTTGTTCTGCACCTGTTGTTGCTTCTTGTTTGATGTAGTCTCTTCTGTTAAGCACTTCAGGCCATGCTACTGTTTAGTTTAACTTGCAAGAAAACATTAAATTATATTTTTAGAAATCAAGTGTCAGCTATTGGCTCCTCCTTTTCCCAATTCTCCTCTGCTATGACATTAATGATTGAGCCAAGAGGAAGAGCAGAAATTGATCTGTGTGTTATTAATGATTTTGTTTCCAACAGTTGTAAGAGAATTCTTCCATACCATCAAGGCACCCATTTGCTTTCACTGGTAATTGATAGTTCAGATATTTAGAAGAGTATCACTATAATTGCTAAGGACTTATCTACCTCATTAGCAGTACAGTCCCTTTTCTTCACTGTGGCAGTCCAACACAATCAGCACAGACACGGCTGAAATTGTAACTTGCACTTCCATGTTTTCCCTCACAAAATTTATACACCTATCAGAGAATTACTGACAGTAATGATACCTGGGATAAACTTGCTCTTAATTTAAAAAGTTATGGATGCAAAGGGGTGTATTTTGACCTTTTATGCCCAGATGAATACACCTACTTCCACTAATCCATGTGATATCTCCTGGGAAAAAAAATAAAGCACCTTAGTATGTCTGCAAAATAAGTCACACATTTTAGAATTATATGGAAGAAAATATGAATGCAGTGCTTTACATTTGTTTAGCAAGGCAGAGACTGAAAGGCTGAGACTCTCCAGAGGCAGTGCAAGTTTACTAATTAGGTCAAAAAGGTTAGTAATTTACTTGTAGGCACACAAGCAGTAGCATATGGGTAGAAATGGAATATATAACTCCAGAAATGGAATACATAACTCTATTGCCAGTTTTCTTCTTAGTCATTATGTGTTTTCAGATGAAATCATATGCAAAACTCCATAAGCAATTTGAAGCTAGTTTGAATATCCAAAGAAGGCACTGATGGTTGTTTCAAATTAATTACTGAGAACCTCATTACAGACACTATGGAAATACTTTATAAACAATAATTCTTTGTCAATGCATTTGACAGCCATAATAAATACTTTATAGAACCGGTATTTTGCATTAAAGGTTGTTTTAAATTTGAATTTTTTATTGTCTTTTTAATAGCATCACCATCCCAAGCATGCAGTCTCCAGTGGCATCAGTTCTCAATCATTTTAACAGATGATGGCGTAGCATTGTTTAGGTGGTGTTCATCACCTTGCAGCAAGGGGCACTTGAGGTTCAAATAGTGATTTATCCCTTTTGTCCTTAATTTGAAAGAAGGTACTGTTGCTAACATCTGTATGCAGTTTTCATTTATTTCAAATAAAAGAGAGAACATTCCTTCAAGATTGATAAGATTACAGTTCCTCGTAGCAAAACTAGCTCCATTATTTGTATCAGTAGTGTATAATGCAAAGATAAAATAAGTTTTTATGCAAAGTTCTAATGAACAATTTGGTTCTTGTTTGAGGTTATCTCAGGCTGGCTATCCAAATCTCAAGAAACAATGAAGGACATTGGGTAAATGCCTGTTACATTTTTCAGAAAAAGAAACAGAAGTCTTCTGTCTCTACCAGATTGCATTGTGATTTTTGCTGGATGGTCTGTAGCAATATCAAATATGTTCTTTTTTCTTTTCCTTCGCAGCTGGAGTTTCCATTTACTCACCCTTCCTGGAAGCATTACCCTTTTAATTACTGAGTGTGTGCCAAAGCAGTGAAAAACAGAAACCATAGTTTTTGAAGATGTGTGAAATAGATGTGCAAAATTCCTTCCAGTTGTTTTCTGTGTCAGCATTTTCATAACTCTCAGCATTTTGTTATATCCCTATGTTATGAAAATAAATGACACAGAAGCTTCAAGTGTAAGCTTAAGACTGTACAAAGAAATATGATATCTGTATATATGTGTTTTATAGGATTCAAGGCATGGCACAAGGATTGTCATGTGATTGAATCAGAGAGCAGCCTTGCCAGTGTATTTTATTTGCAATGTCCTACCCATTAAGGACATGAAAAATATTGAAAATTTAAGAATGGAAAGAAAGATGGGCAAGTGTTCTTTTAAAAATTAATTAAAGGAAGGTTAGGAAGATTTTAGAAATCTGCAGCAAGAGCCCATATTAACAAATGGAGGAACATAGTGAATTATAGATGTAAACTTTCGACTGCCTGTAGTGCTTGATTATAAATACCACAGCAGGAGAGATTGATAAGCATCATCTTGCAAGCTCAGAGAAGCTGAACTTCTGAAAGTGTATTGATCAATGCTGAACTCAGTACTGAGTTGCTGGTAAATGTCTTCCTTATCTCATACTGATCACAGGCTACAATGAGGGAACCGAAAGAGGATAAAGGACAAAACCCCAAACCCATGAGCTTTCCCAAGAAGAAGTTCTGTTACAATGCAAAGAATGTTAGCTCTATGCATTCAGAGAAATGTGAAATGAAGTAATTCACTTTTTAAAATAATGTCTGTTATAGGATCTGAGCAAAACCCCATAAAGATTGATGACAGCAACTTAGCATGGTTCTGCACTAATAACTAAAAACTAGTAACACTATGATCTGTGGTCCTGTTTTCTTCAGCAGAGATATTATTATTACATTCTGCCACTCTTTCAGTGCAAGCAGAAGCTTGCAGACAAATAATTAGGGTTGCAAGCTGTATAAACTGAATAAAAAAAAACCACTGAGAAATATTTTTGCTTTCATCTGAAGGTGACAAAACCAAAGACTCCTTTTGACAAAAGTGTACCAGCCAGTATGTCAGAAATCCCATCCCATTCAGATAGAAAAGTTTTCTCACACAACTACAATAAATGGGTGCACTTTTTTGTTCTCTGCACCTACAAAGCTGCCTCTGGTTTTGTTTACAAGCATTTTTAGGCCTTTGATCATGTCTGTCTGCAT